GAAATCATAGTTGCAGATAATCAACTTTAGTCAAGCATGTAGTCAGTGGCCTTAAAGAAGGGGTGCGAGGCAGTGCTGGATTCCTGGAATAACCGGGTTTGCATGTACACACAGAATAATTTTTAAGTTGGCAGTAGGCTGTGGTAGTGTTCTATGTGTGATTATAACATAAGGCTTGATTATAAAATATCTGTAAGATTAAAATGGTTGAAAAATTACCACTTCTGAAAAATACTGCAAAAATTGCACTGTACTGTAAGTGTAAAACAAATTTAAGTGATTAGTTATAGGGGCTAGCAGATGTAGTGGTTATGTCTCTGGACTCCCACATGGCTGATTCAAGTCTCAGACCTGGTGGCTTGAAACTGACACTGGATGTGTGTGTGTGCGCATGCCCAAAATCCTGAGAGGAGACTGGAGGAGAAGGGATTACAGTGTGGCCATTTCCCCGGGAGGTGATTTCTTGCTTTTGGTCTCTCTGTCTCTCTGGCATACGCCCTATAGCAAAAATCTCTCTCTCAAAAAAAATTAGGTATAGGGGCCTTTCTGACTTAAAGACAAAGTAACTACCAGATTATTTCTTAAATTGCACATAGTACATTCAATAAACGGTAGCGTCCTCTGGTTGTGTGTTTATGCATTTACCTGTTTTGCTTTATTTTGTAAATTAACAGTGTATCTTGGTGTCTGTCTCATTTGTACATAGGCTATATATAGTTTTGCTTTATTCTTTTAAGTGGGCGCTTGATATTAAATTCTGTTGCAGTATCATAATTTATTTAGTGAGTCTATTTTTTCTCCTTTATGCGAGAGAGAAAGAGAGAGAAAGCACCCCTCCAGTGAGTCGTGGTCACGTTGCAGTCCACGCTCCTTCATTTCTTTGTTGGGATTTTGGGCGTGCACACATGCCTGGTATGTTTTCCAAGCCGCCATAACCAGATTTTGAGCCACATAGTTGGCCACGTGGGATCTGACTCCCTTAACCACCAGGCCACAGCGCTGACCCCCTTTACTTTTATGCCAGCAATGTATCAGGGTTCCATTTGTTTCACATTCTCACCAGTACTTGGAATTGTCATTATGGCGCTTATGATATTTGGTCCCTGGTTACAAATGAAATGGAACACATGTTGTCATATTTTTATTGGCCATTGAGATTCCTCTTTTGTGATGTAACTGTTCAAGTCTGTTGAGTATTATTTTACTGAGCTATTTGTGGGGTATTTTTTTTTTTTTTTGGTTCACATATTGAAGTATTTTTAAAATTCATTCTGGATACAAACCCTTTGCAGGCCATATGTGTTATATGTATGTTTATGTTTGTTTCTTGGTACGGTATAAGCGGTCTAGACTGCTCATTCTCCTTGTTTCCTTTTCTAGTGTTAGCTCTTGTTAGCCTTGTCATGATTTACCCACATCACACTCCACTCAGTACACCTGTGATTGTTAGCTCTCTGTAGCTTTCCATAACTCTTATCTTTTCTTTCAATGGCTCTTCTGTGTGAGGAGCACCTTCAGTCTACTTCAGTGACCCCTCCTCTCTGAAGCCTCTCCGGACCCCCTCCTAACAATGTTATGCCCTGTACTTTCAGTGCATTTTATGTGGAGCCTCTTAACATTTGTCCACTTAAAACGACTAGTAAGTTTTGTTTGTATCTGAAGTGTGTGTGTGTCTTGTGCTAAGCCATGGGTTTTCTAAGGCGTAATTACTTATCTGTGGATTTTCTGTTTCTACTCAAGATCCAGAGTACGACACTTATCTAATTTCCGTAAGTATTCGTGGGAGAAATGTATGAATAAAAGTGAATGAATTTCTTTTCAACGTCTTCAGGTGAGATTAGAGAGCCCCTTGACATCTCCCTATCACAAGGTGCACATGCTTCCAAAGGCACTCCGACAGCTGGAGTGGAAGAGATTCGACCTGTAGACATCGTTAATATGCTGCTGAATTTTGAAATTAAAGAGGTATGTACTTTTTGTCTGTTTTTGTAAGATGAGGTACATAAATATGGGGTTACTTTACTAAACTAAACTTGTAGGTAATTGATATGGATGGACAAATTTTACAGTCTGTTTACACGTAGCAGTGATACTTTAGAATGTGAACGTCTGTTAAGGGTAAGTTACATTTGGGGATACACGATCTCGTGGGGAGATGGAGCGTGACCTGTTCAGATTTTCAGGACAGTTGAAATGTGGCTTGTTTTGAATTTTGTGTAAGAAAGTCATAAAATGGAAATAATGACAGAAATCCTTTGCAAATTTTAGAAATCATTGGTAGAATAAAACACAATATGTGCACATTAAAACAAAGTTACATCACTACTATCTCCACCTGCAGATTCTTGAGAGAGTATTCAATACATTTTCCTCTTCTTTGTTCACACAGTCAACAGATATTTACTACATGTGCCAGGTGCTAAGAATACGGAGGTAAAAGGGATGGTTTCTGAACTCAGATGAAACACTTTTGTATGTGCTCCCATTAAAAATGTGTCCGGGGCTCAGGGCGTATCAGAGCTCGAGATGTTGATGGTGGGAGGGCAGGGGATGTCCAAGCAGACCGAGAGGATCAGGAAAGATTTCCTGGAGGAGGTGACATTTACATCAAGTTTCTAAAGAAAAATCAGAAATCATCCAAGAAAAGGGAATCAGGAAAGTGTCTGGACTGGAACAGAGTAGGAGAGGGTCAGGCATAAAAGTGACTATGAGGGACCAGCAGTTAGCGTAATGGCTATGTCTCTGGACTCCTATGTAGTCGACTACGGTTCGAGTCCCGGACCCGGTGGCTTAAACTCACGCTGGGTGCGTGTAAGTGTGCCCAAGATCCCGAGAGGAGAATAGAGGAGCGGGGATTGCTGCATGGCCATCCCCCCTAGGGGGTAATTTCTTGCTTTCTGTCTCTCTGTCTCTCTCTGTCTTTCTGGCGAGCTCAGACAAACAAAACCCCCCCCCCCCCAAAAAAAAAAAATGACTGTGAGAAAGTTTAGAGGGCACATGGACTTGTAAGAGCGCCTTCCCACCTCACTTCATCATCACATAGTTGTGTAGAGGCTTTGCTCCTTCTTTGAGCTGCACTTACACTTTTAAACAAATGAGCTCTACTTTTTTGGTCTGAAATACATGCTTTGAAACTAGCTTATCTCATGTTAAACCTCCAGTTTTTATTAAGCTTTGATAATTGGAGCACTGATAGATGAATCATTCTATTTGCAAATGTGCTTAATTAACATATGTATATAAAAAACCCTTAAGTCCTTTCTAATAGCACTTGTATATATATTCTGATAATTCTTAACGTCAGGACAGGGACTTGAAGGGGAAGCAGTTTGTATCCCCATCCGTTATGTGGATGTTTGGCCTTGTCGGAAAACATTCTGGACATTGTTGCCTGGAGGATGGGTGCTCCGCGTATGTGGTGAATAGAGGCCAGGCTGCTAAATATCCGGCCCTGCACAGCCCTGGCTAGAGGATGTAGTTCCTGGGCTTAACCTGTCAGTAGTGCTGAGGTTGGGAATCCTTGCCTGAGGAATCCATAGTACAAAGATGGCTGCTGGTCTTTGGGATGAAAGGTCAGCCATCAGACTAGGACTTCTAGGGATTAGACAAACTGCCTTTTTTCTTTTCTTTCTTTCTTTTTTTGTTTACCTTCAAAAGCCCCTGGAACAGGCTGGCATTTAGTGTGGTAGTGAAGATGCCGGACACCCACATGGCTGACCATGGTTCCAGTTCCGGACCTGGTAGCTTGCTTTCTTACTTTCTCTCTCTCTCTCTCTTGCTCATGAGTATCTGTGCCCTATAGCAAAATTAAAAAATAACAGTAATAATGAATACAATAAAATGATTCTTTTAAAAAGCCATTGGAATATAGTGGTAACGCTTGAAAAGTCTAAACAAGTAAATGTGCCAGGACCAGCAGGTGGTGTAATGATTATGTCACTAGACTCCCATGTAGTCAACTGAGGTTTGAGTCCTGTACCCGGCAGCTTAAAACTCTTGCCAGGCACGTGTGTGTGCATGCCCAAGATCCCGAGAGGAGAATGGAGGAGAAGGGATGGCAGCATGGCCATCTCCCCGGGGGGATGATTTCTCATTTTCTGTCGCTCTGTCTCTTTCTGGCGAGCGTATGCGCCCTATAGCAAAAACCTCTCAAAAAACAAAACAAAACCGAGTTAATGTGCCTTCTGAGGTAAGTAATACTAGGTAATTTTCAGGGATATATGGAAGTAAGCATCTTTACATTGTATGAATTTCTTTGTTATATTACTCTGGATGGTTATTGAATTTTTTTGTAAAGGTTATTTACTTATTTCTTCTATGAGAGAGAAAGATGGAGAGACAGACAGGTACTCTGGATGGGGTCATCCCGTGAAGTGCACCCGTAGTGCCAGCCTGCCTGGATCAGGGAGGTGTCAGAACACAAACCCTGGACCTTTCCCACGTGGGTCCAGTTGTGTTACCTTGTGCTACTGCCTGGCCCCAGTAGTTAAGTTCTTGATGTTATCTTTATTGTGGATCAGTTACATAGTTATTAGTAATACTGATACCTTTTTCTAGGTTGTGGTGACTTTGATGAAAACAGCAGAAAAGAAAGGACGGCCTTTACATGAACTGAATGTCCTACAACTTGGAATGGAGGCCAAAGTTAAAACCTATGACATGACGGCTACGGCTTACCTAAAGAAAATTAGTATGCGGTGCTTTGACTTCCCTGGTGAGTGTGAAGTGTCGTCTGTGTAAATTACTCACTAGACAGACAGTCCCTATCACTTTATCAACATTGAGCATTTACTTTTGTCACATAATTATTTAAATTTATTATATTGATTCAAAGACATTTGGTATTTTAAAAATTTATTACCTTATGGAATTATTTGTAATACATTAAAAATATATCTAAGTATACCTATATTTAAAATGAAGTAATATACATCTAAAAAAATGAAGGGTATGGCTATAGTGTCTTGTAAAAAGCCCCATTTCATTATAAGTATACCGTGAGAACTGAAATATTGGAAGCAGAACCCAGGTACAGATCCCAGATCGTGTTTTGAAAAGTTGAGTTAATTTACTAGAAAATCGTGAATTATTTATTCTTTCTTTATTTTTAAATAACATGCATTTTAAAATTTGTTTTAAATTAGATTCGTATATGCTTGTGAGAAATAAAAATTAAATATTTCAGATGCTTATAAAGGAATGAGTTTAACATCACCTTGTAGTCTCATTTGCTTCCCCCAAAATAAATACTAAGTTACTGTTTAGCAGATATTCCAGACTTAGAAGTTCATGTTCTAAATTGCAATAAGCCATATTTTAAAGTTACTATGAGTGTTTAGAGTTTATAAGAACTCTGTTAGGTTATGTTTAAGTAAAGCAAACTTGTACTGAGAATAAGCCCTTGTTTATGTACGCATTTTACTGGCTTGTCATGATTTGTTCAAATGAGGGCACTATATGCATTAGAAGCAATTGTTGTAATTGGCTAGTGCTAGTGTTTTAATTTCTGTGGGTTTCTTTTTCAAAACTAGGTTTTTTGAGACATAAAATATCTACATACACACACACACACACATAAATATTATGATATGTAAGTATATTTGTGTGTATACACATGTGTATTGTGTGTGTGTGTGTGTGTGTGTGTGTATGTATAGTACAACTTACCTTTTTTAGTATCAAGTTTTACGAGTGTTGGTAAACATACATTTGTATAGTTGGCTGATCCTATTTAAAACATGTTTGGAATGTTGAAGAGACTAGATGGATCAATCTTGTCTTTTTCCCTTTTAGACTCGAAAGGAGAACCTCTTCACATTATTAACTCTTCTAATGTAACTGATGAACCCCTTCTGAAAATGTTATGGACAAAGGTACCTAGTTTGATTTCTAAGATTTTTTTTCTTTTAAAGAATTATTTTATTTAACTTTATTTATGTATTTACTTATTTATTTTAATTTGATGAGGGAGGGAAGGAGGGAGGGAGAGAGAGAGTGAGTGAGAGAGAGAGAGGTGGAGAGAGAAAAAGTGAGAAACAAAGCCACACCAGGTCTTGAACCGTGGTTGGCCATGTGGGAGTCCAGCGCCCTTAATCACCGCGCCACCTGCCAGCCCCTTATTTCTAAGATCATTTAATATTTGTTTTTCTGGAGAGATTTTTGCTATAAGGCATATACATTCTCTGAGTGAGACAGAGAGAGACAGACAGAAAGCAAGAAATTATCCCCAGAGGGGATGACCACACCAGAATCTCTTCTTCATGCTCCTCTTGGGATTTTGGGCATGAACACACACACACCTGGTGTGTTTTAAGCTACTGGGTCCGGGAAGTGAACTGACTATGTGGAAGTCTAGTGACATAACTATTACACTATGGTCGACTATGTGGGAGTCTAGTGACATAACTACTACACCATCTGCCAGTCCCAGATTCTTTAATATGTGAATATACAAAGTTATATATATCCTAATATTCTAGTTTTCTCCCCTAAAAATTTTATTCTAAACTGGTTGATTGTGGTGAGTTATGTAAGCACCTAAAAATTCTGAATATTTTCATTATCCTTCTGAAATAATCTTTGTTGATGAATAGGTGAGAGTAATACAGGTTCCATTGTAATCCAAAGAAAAGTGTGTTTTTCCCTACCTTTTAGGTTTGTATATGTAATCTAGATGTCCTAGCAGTTCCCCCAGGGTAGGATAAGGAATTTGAGTTTTTGCTTCTATAGAATTTGAGAAATGCTTATGTGGTCAGGTTTTTGGCATATCATTCTTTGCCTTTAAAAAGTATGATATGTTTATTGTATCTTAATAGCATCTTTTGAAAAGCAAAGAATGTGTGCATTTTCATTGTCTGAATGAATTTTTATTATCTTTAACCTAGTTGTTTCATTCTGTGTTATTTGTAGGCAGATAGTGAAGGACCAGAATTTAAAACAGTTCATGACAATACCAAACAGAGAATGAAGGTAAATCTTTCACAATTCACAATAATGCTGGTTATGATAATGATTAAAAGTAATTGCGTAGCCATTATCAATCCTGACATTGTGGGTTCTACAATTAGAATAAGGATGGCAATAAGAATAGATCAGATACAGTGAATGGATATATAATTGAAATATAGTTCTTACAAGAAGTTGTTTTGATTTCCTAAAAGGCCTTTTCCCAGATGTAAATTAATGATAACTTGTCAAGTATGCAAAAAATACACTTTTTTAAGAGAATTTGTTCACTTTAGTCCACAATGGTTAATTGACCTAGGGTTGATAGAAGCGTTAAACATGCGAATTAGGATAAGAAGAAGACTAAGGACAAAGATAAAGCATGGCCCAGTACAGACATTTCTCACAGTCCACTCGAATGTATTAGGTTGTTGGGAAAGTCATGACGTGTTTTTCTGTTTTTGTATGCAAACGTGTGCCATGACCTTCCCACATACTCGGTCTGGGGCCCATCTGCAGTGTGGCCTAAGGCCTGATAGTACTTCGCCTATCTTTACTTAAAACTCACCAGGTTCAACTGAGGTTAGGATTAAGGTCACACACGGGAATGGGCACAGTGTTCATTTATTGTCTGGTAAGGGTTAATATTCTTAAAACATACAATTGAAAAATAGCCCTTAACTGAACTGTTTGTATGCTTCTTATATATATTGAACTTAACTTAAAAATGCTGCCATGTCTGAGATGACTCTCTGCTTGTTCATTATCTTAGGTTTCATTTTCATCCTTAGACTTAGTGCTTCATTTGGAAGCTTTGCTTTCCTTAATGGATTTTTTGTCATCGGCTCTTCCATCCTCTGAACCTTCCTCTTCCGAGAAGGAGTCTGTGCTGAAACCGCTTGTGGGAGAGTCCAGAAGTATTGCTGTCAAAGCTGGTATTAGTTTTTGAGTCATGGTCTAATACTTTGTATTAATACTTTAATACCCATGTAGTATTTTTCAAGCTTAGATACATAGGAAGGTCTTCAGAAAGTTCATGAAAATTCATATTATGAAAAAAATTGCAGGATTTCAACCTTTTTTTTTATAGCAAAATAATTCCATTTTTACATGAACTTTTTGAAGTACATGCTATTAAAACTGCTCTGACAGATTAGGCTGCTTTCAAAAGAAAGCACATTTTATCCCTATGGGATTATCGACAATTTAGTGAGAGATTTTAAATAAATGTTGTTTAATAACAGTCATGTATTTATATTATATTTGATGTCATTGCCTAGCTTTTATATAAAATAGAAATTGTATGTACTTTGCATTGATGTCTGTCTGTGGTGTTTAGTCCAATGAAAGTGAGAAGGTAAAATACCGATACAGTTACGCATAGTAAACAGAGGTCCGCGTCAGTTGATCGGGCAGAGCTGCCTGGTCCTCAGCAACGTTAACTGCTCTGTGGTACACTGAAGGAGGGCTGTCTTGGAGGAGAAACTCCCTTGGTTTCTAACCAGAACTATGTTTAGGTCACACAGAGATATAGGTACATGTTCTTCAGGTATATGGCTCATGCAATGAAGAGAGCATGCACCTGTTGTTAAGCCAAAGTATTTTATTAATTATTTTTCTTTCATATTATGTAACTGTCTAAAAATAGTCAATTTTTAGGTGATGACCTGTTTGTAAAACTGCTGGTACTGTTAAATTGGTTTCCATTAAAGACAAATAATGCACATGCTTTTACTCTACTTGGTTTATAACAAAATTATTACTCTGTTCCATGGTTTTGAAAAAATGAGGTCCTCAGGGCCAGCAGGCGGCATGGAGGTTAAGGTGACTGAATACGACATGGCTGGCTGCATGGTTTGAGTCCCAGACCTGGCAGCTTGAAAAATCATGCCAGGCTTGTGCACATGCATGCCCAAAAATCACAGGAGGAGAAGAGATTGTGGCATGGCCCTCTCCCTGAGGGTGGTGATTTCTCACTTTAGAACACTCTCTATTCTTCTCTCTCTGTGTCTCTGGAAAATGCATGTGCACCATAGCAAAAACTTTAAAAAAAAATCTTTCTTTCATCAAATCTAGTTCTGACAGTTTTACACTGAAGTTGTCAATTATGTAGGTATAACTCGAACTGTTATTGGCCTGAAAATTAAATTACTATTGCTAGATAGTTATATCATCTAATATGAAAGAAAAAGAATTAAAACGACATTTGGTTTAAACCAGACATCACAAGTAAAAAAAAAATACCCTATCAATAGCTCTATGTCACACACATGCATACATGTATATGTAACACAGCCATAAACAGTTGAAAAATGAAAAAGCAATGTTTAAATTCACAATCAACTACAAATAATATTAATCTGAAACAGTCCTTCAGTTTCGCTCTGCAGTTGGCCTTTGTGGTTCAATTATGCTGCATTAAATATTAAGGGAGAATGATAACTTGTGGTCGCGTTGATGATTAAGGACAAGTCTCCGTCGTGTTCTTCATGCTTTTGCAGTTTCATAGGAAAGGTCTGTTTGCTGCAGACAAGCAGTTTTCTAGGAGAGTGTACCCTACATTTGTCAGTCAGGTCCTGGATTAAAATAGATTCAGGGAATTCATTTGATTGTGATTCTTAGACACACACACGTGTGTGCGTAATTTGTGGAATAATACTTTTTTTGTTTTTTTTAAACTTTAGCCCTTTATGTTTACTTTTCATAGAATTTATTTCAGAATTCTTTATAGACTAGTGGGATATAATCTAGAGAAATGGATTCTTTAGTTATAACATATATTGTAAATGCCATAGAAAATAATAATGTATTTTATTAACTATTAGTTGATATTTTATCTTTTATGAATTCTACATCTAGGCTGTGATAAGAAAAAGAGTTCAAAATCAGAAGTTTAGGATAATAGAGTTCTAGAATTCTAATTTAAAGAGTTTTATTTTTCCCAGAAGAAAAATTGAGGTCAAGTTTCCATCTGGTAAATTGTACTTGTAAAGTGCTATTAACAGTTAGCTTTGAGGCCAGCAGATGGCGTGGTGGTTAAGGCCCTGGACTCCCACATTATCAACTGCAGTTTGAGTCCCAGACTTGGTGGCTTGCTTTCTCACTTTCCCTCCCTCCCTCTGTCTCACTCCCTGTCTCTCTCTGATTGACTTAAGAAATAATACTAGTAAATAAAATTAAATAAAATAATTCTTAAAAAAGAGTGTAAAAAGACCAGTTACCTTTATTTTTCATTTGAAAGGGAACATGATAGTTTTTGTCTGATTGGCTTTTGAAAATTGTTTAAAAATCTGTATTAATTATATGTTACCTTAATGGAGGCCTTTTTGATTCTTCATAGTTCATTATATATTAGTGCATTTGAAATTATTTCGGATGTTAAAGTCACCTTTATACTTTACTAATCACAAGGGTTCTATTATTTTCCAGTATCCAGCAACATTTCTGAAGAGGGTGTGTTTGATTTAAAGGTCACAGCTGAATTAAATGCATTTAATATCTTTGTGTGTGATCGACTGTGTAACATTGCAGATATCAAAATACATGGTAAGTGATTATTCCTTGGTTCAGGTATTTCTGTTTCTTTTCATAAACACTGAGGAAAAATGAGCTTGTACATATTAAATTTTTCTTGAATTATCTTCTGGTTTACTTATGTGGAAGACTTAATGCAAATCTCTTAAAGGTGTACTTTGAAATGTTAGGAGTACATTTGTTATGATTCATGGCTGGCTCAATTTTTCAGAATAAATCAAAGGCTTAATGTCTTGTTCTGGTTTTTAGGATAATATAACTAAATTAAGAAGAGACTGTCACCGTAATATCTTACTGAGGGAAAAAGAATATTACTCTTATTTATCTTGTTTCTTGTGCATGTCAGGAAAAGTTGTTTCTGAAATAGATTTGTAAGTTTTTCTCAGCATCAGCCTCATTTAAGAATGAGATGGTGTGGGGACCAGCAGTTGGTGTAATGGCTATGTTGTTGGACTCCTATGTAGTCGACCGTGGTTCAGATCCTGGACTCAGTGGCATAAACTCACACCAGGCTCATGTGCATGCATGCCCAAGATCCCGAGAGGAGAATGTAGGAGAAGGGATTGCGGCGTGGGCATCCCCCCTGGGGGGCGATTTCTCGTTTTCTGTCTCTGTCTTTCTGGTGAGCACACACACCCTATAGCAAAAACCTCTCAAAAAGAAAGAAAGAAAAAGAATGAGATGGTGTGGTTAATAGTTCAGATTATACCAAGGGTTCTGGAGCTGGCTAGCCAAGGTTCAGGTTCAGACTGTTCACACTGACTGACCTTGAGCTAATTAATTGATCTTTCTATGCCTTAGTTGTCTCACCTCTACAATGGAGAAATTTATAATTATTTATGGAGTTGTTGTGAAGATATACTAAAGTTCTTCATTTATATATGTTCAGGAAATTACTTGGTATGCAAGTAATTTTTTAAAACGTTAAGAATTCAGCTCCATTGAACAAATACTACCTTGTGTGTATTTCATGGGGAGGGGCATGACTTGGGACTCATCACTAGGTCTTAGCTGAAGGCATTTTGTCTAGGAGCAGTTATTGTTGTTATTATGTCTTTAGAAATTATGCCCCCTCCAAAAAAAAAATTATGAGAATGGGGAGGATCAGCAGATGGCATAATGGCTACATTGCTGGACTCCCATGTAGTTGACCACGGTTCGAGTTCAGACCCAGTGGCTTAAACTTATGCCAGGTGCATGTGTGTACGTGCTCAAGATCCTGAGAGGAGAATGGAGGAGAAGGGTTTGTGGTATGGCCATCCTCCCTGGGTGGTGATTTCTGCCTTTCTTTCTCTCTGTCTCTTCTTTCTGGCGAGCGCATGTGCCCTGTAGCAAAAACCTCTCAAAAAAAAAAAAAAAAAAAAGAGAATTGCAATTTTTTTTTTTTTTTTGAGGTTTTTGCTATAGGGCGCATGTGGTCGCCAGACAGACAGAGAGAGTCAGAAAGCGAGAAATTACCCCCCTGGGGAATGGCCACGCCACAATCCCTTCTCCTCCATTCTCCTCTCGGGATCTTGGGCATGCACGCACACGCACCCAGCGTGAGTTTAAGCCACCGGGTCCGTGACGGGAACTGCGGTCGACTATGTGGGAGTTCAGCAACGTAGCCATTACGCTAACTGCTGGTCCCAGCAAATTTTTTAAAAAGAGAAATCTTAGAAGACTGTATTAGAAACAGTTCATTGTAGTAGTAAGAGCACTAATTAAGTGATGTTCTTTTTTCAGTTATTGATCAATTTTAGTAATAAAATAAATTTTTGTGAGATAATTGTTTAACAAATACTGTATCTTCTTAAATGACCACTTCCGATCTTGCCAATGTATAGTGTATTTTTGTTTGGAGAAATGTGATTATTTTTCTTCAAATTTTGACTCTTTTTGTTTTAAAATTTCCTTAACTCTTGTGTATGAGATGCGTGTCTCATACATTGAAGTTGAGACCGTTAATATGTCTAATAATGGGTTTGTATTCTCTCTGTATCTTAGTAGTGTATTATTAATGAGCTTGAATGCCACCGATTTGGTTCCCCTGGACTGGATGAAAGCCTGTAAATGTTCTATTTCTCATAGGCATGGATGCCTCTGTTTCTGTGAAGCCAGAGCAGACGGATATGTTTGCCAGACTTAAGGATATCATAGTTACAAATGTTGATTTGCAGTCTATTCACAAAAAGGTAACTTAAAAAAATAGCTTCTATGTGGAAATTAATTTTATTCTTGAATTCAAGATGCTGTTATTCATTTATTCAGTGTACGTCTATTAGTTGTCACATATCAGGCACTTTGTTAGGAGTTGGAGGTAAAAATGATAAAAATCCATTGGGTTGTTGGGAAAGTCATGACTCATTTTTGCTTAGAAAACCGTAGAAAACCATGTCATGACTTTGCCGATGACCTAATTCTCTCACATTGTGTCTAGACTAGGCCTCCTGATACCGAGTGATTTGTAAAAGTGGTTCCTGAACAGTTAAGGAACTGGTATTTTCATTGATAAAATTATGGAAATGGGAAAAATTATCAAGTAAAATATTTTTAATGAATGATTTGTTTGAGTTTATATGTTACTTCTTTATATAGCAAGGATTCTGTAATAGGGGAACTGACAGTACATTGATTAGGACTGTACAACACTTTTGATGTAATAACCAGTTAATCTAATCTTTTCAGGCTGTCTCTATTTTGGGAGATGAGGTCTTTAGATTCGAAATGACTCTTTATCCAGATGCCACCGAAGGAGCAGCCTATGCTGACATGTCTAAAGTAGATGGCAAACTTAGTCTCAAAGTGGGTTGTATTCAGATTGTTTATGTTCATAAATTCTTCATGTCTCTATTGGTAAGTTTGTTTTTAAATGTCTTTATTTCTCATTGAGGCCTAAGTAGCTTTGCCTATACTGAACCTTCAGTATGAGGGCTATATGAGAAACATTCTAAGGTTGAGTGAAATATTACAATTAAGGAAGTACTTTACGTGGTGGATAAGCAAATGAATTATTTTAACCATCATTTTGAACATATAAATATCATTTTCTAGCATGTTCATAGTTCTATATGTAAAAAGTGCTTCTTGATGGTTTAATTAAGATCTTTTCAGTGTTACTTTATGATGAAATATCCCCAAAGGCATTTAACTAAAAGAAATTTTTTAAGGAAGCTCATCAGACATTTGAAAGACTAATATTGAAACTTACAGCTTTTGCTTATAATCATGATCATCAACCGATGAAATTATTTTTATTATTTATTTCTCTGTAAGTGTCATTGACTTTGAGCTTAAATTGGCCTGCCTCTTATAGGGCTGCTAATCAGAGTCATGAATTTCTGCCCAAACCATCAGGGTTTTTTCTGTTGGGTCATCAGAAAAGTCATGATGCATTTTTGTATCATTAATGAATGAGCATCAAGAATATTCCTTCTAGAAATGATTTTTTTCTTCATTGGGAAAAGTCTGTTTATAGTTGAAATTGAGACGAAATGCATATTACTGCAAAAAGAGAAGTTTGATTTTTACTAATGATTGCAGAGCCGTAGATAATTAACATCTTTGCTTATGCTTGGGGACCGTAAAAAAAAATGAATCTTCAAAAATAAGCTGCCAGAACCTGAGTTTCTGCGATTAAACTTTATTCCTGTGATCTAGAGATGTTATTAATCCTCTTTTGGAGAAGTTAAATGCTCTCCTTTACTTCTTTCATTCACATTCGAATTTAAAATGACCAACATTCATTAATAAACAGACTTAAAGAACGAATTGGTACAGTTGTTACAAATGTTTATCATAAAAATAAAATAATTCTGGGAACCAGCAGTTAGCGTAATGGCTATGTCGCTGGACTCCCACGTAGTTGACTGCGGTTCGCATCCTGGACCCGGTGGCTTAGAACTCATGCCGGGCACGTGTGCGTGCGTGCCCAAGATCCCAAGAGGAGAATGGAGGAGAAGGGATTGCGGCGTGACCATCCCCCCTGGAGGGTGATTTTTCGCTTTCTGTCTCTATGTCTCTCTCTGTCTGTCTGGCGAGTGCACGTGCCCTATAGCGAAAACCTCTCCAAAAAAAAAAAAAAAAAGAAAAAAAAGAAAATAATTCTGAAATATGTAAAATGAAAACCCTTTTTAGAGATGACTATTGTTAATGACTTAGAATGTATCCTTCTAAAATGAAAATGAACCCTTTTTAGAGTTGACTATTGTTAATAACTTAGAATGTATCTTTCTAGACTATTCTCTTTACACACTATGTCCTAAATAGCATATTTTATATTACTTCTTTTATTTAGTTTTTCTTTTTTTTAAATAACTTTTTAAACTTTATTGATTTTAATTTGACCAGAGAGGGATAGAGAGAGAAAGTGAGAAAGCAAGCCACTCAGTCCAGAACTTGAACTGTGATTGGCCATCTGGGAATCCAGTGCCCTTAACTACCACACTACTTGCCGGTCCCTTACTTAGTTTTTCTTTTTAAAGCAATTATTTTATAAAGGTTTTTCTTTAAAAAAAATAAATGCCTTTTGAGGACAACTCTCTACATACCAGTTTCTTTTAACAGAACTTCCTCAACAATTTCCAAACTGCCAAAGAAGCTCTGAGTGCAGCCACAGCCCAGGCTGCAGAACGAGCTGCTTCCAGCATGAAGGATTTGGCTCAGAAAAGTTTCCGCCTCTTGATGGATATCAACTTGAAAGCACCAGTTATTATTATTCCTCAGTCTTCAGTATCACCGAATGCTGTTATAGCAGATCTGGGTTTAATCAGAGTGGAGAATAAATTTAGTTTGGTTCCTATGGAACATTCTTCTGTTCCTCCAGTCATTGATAAAATGAACATCGAGCTCACCCAGTTGAAGCTGTCCAGGTATAAATGTGTAGTCTAATTGTGTATTCATTTACTAGAAAAAGGATTTTCATAGAATTGTGGCCATTGGTAAAACACTCTAATCATTTGTGGTTCTTAATTCCTGTTTCTTCTAATTATGAAACCTTGACCATGTCTATTTTTTTTTTTTTTTTTAATCATTGGATAATAATATGTGCCTCATAGAATCTATATTTTGTCTTATTAATCTAATGTGATTTTCCTCCAACCGATAAAGGTTACCTATCATAAAATCATAGTTTACTCAGTAATATTTAAGTATATTTTTATTTTTTTGTTTTTGAACTTTGTACATAGCTATTTCCTTTTCTGTAGATGAAGGAAAAAACTTCATAAAATGTAATACAATTTAAGATTTATATTTTAATTTCCAAACCATGTCACATTTGAGAATTCTTACTGAGATATCTAAAGAATTTTTGAATACAAATGGGAAATCTCGGCTCTATTGAGTGGCAAGAGTATTTATTTGGTTGTGCAGATGGTTGCTGGTGAACAAGCTAGAGATAACTATGATCATATATTCATTTAACTCTTAGAGTTGGTGAGTTTTTCCCCTTGAGCTTGGAGAAGTACCAGTAATGTATTAAGGACTAAATATTTATCACTTTTTTTTTTTTTTTAAGACAGATTTTTGCTATAGGGTGTGTGTGTTCACTGGAGAGATAGAAAGTGAGAAATAACTCCTTGGGGGGAGGGTGGCCACACCACAATCTCTTCTCCTCCATTCTCCTCTCAGGATTTGGGCATACATGCACACACACCCAGTGTGAGTATTAAGCCGCCGGGTCTGGTTCATGAACCACGGTCTACTCTGTGGGAGTCCAGCGTCATAACCATTCCACCATCTGCTGGTCCCTCTATCACTTTTCTTATCCTCCAGTTTTAGGAAGATGCAGTGTTTTGTTTGGGTGACATTGCACTGGTTGCTATATCAGACAGTCTTGGTGAAAAAGTATAAATAATGCAGAAGTCATACTTTATGAAAATTATGTCTTTGAAATCAGTGTATAGGCTTTGTTTTAGATGACTGTATATAAACTTGAATTATTCTGATTTGGATCAATTTGTGAAGAAAAGTATTTCTAAATACTTTCTAAAGTAATTCTTACTATGATTGTTAGTTTTAGGAAAATGTGGAACCTGTCATACAATGTGGTGATCCTCATTTTAAAGTGTAAATTTATTTATTTATATATATAAAGGGTCCTCGGGAAAGTCATGATGCATTTTTGCATAGAAAAACATTGAAGATATATCATGGCTTTCCCAACGACCTAATATAATTAATTATTATTATTATTATTATTATTATTATTTTTCAGAACGATTTTGCAGACCGATTTATCACAACAAGACATTGAAATTTTAAAACCAGTCAACCTGCTTTTGTCTGTACAGCGAAATTTATCAGCAACATGGTATACACAAGTTCCAGGAATGGAGATAAAGGGAAAATTAAAACCTATGCAAGTAAGTAGTTGTATAATACATACGAAAATTGCTAAAGAGCTTTTCATCAGTGGTTACAGCACAGTTCCGGAGTGTATCAGAAGTATTGCTACATTAAAAAGAAATACTTTGTTAACTGCAGATGAGGTCTTTATTTCCCACACTCTATTTTATTTTAATAAGGTATTTGATAAAACCAACTAGATGTGTGATATGTAACTATTGGAGTCAGGACCAGCAGGTAGCATAGTGGGTAGGACACTGGACTCCCACATGGCTGACTGTGGTTCAAGTCTCAGGCCCAGTGGCTTGAAACTCATGCTGGGTGTGTGTGCATCCGTGCATGCATACCCAGAATCCTGAGAGGAAAATAGAGAAGAAAGGATTGTGGTGTAGCCATCCTCCCTGGGGGCTGATTTCTCATTTTCTGTATCTTTGTCTCTCTGGCAAGCGCACATACATGCCTTATAGCGTAAAACTCTCTCAAAAGAAACAAACAAAAAAAATCTATTGGGATCTACTGAAAATATTATTCTTGATTTTGGAAAATTAAGGTTTTCATGCAGTTAAGTTGTGAGACTATGTAAAGTGATGTTCAGATATCGTATTCACTGTACCACAGTACTAGTTTTAGTGTCTGGAAACCCCTTTCAGTTAGAAAAGTGAGCATCCTGTTGAATAAGAAGGCATGTCTATTTGGTAAGCATGTAAACACAACAATATTTTCATTAATTTAGTATGCAGAGCAACTGTAAGCTCACAGGGGATGGTGAGAGTGGGCAGAGGTCGGCGTGGAAGCGAGTGATCTCACGCACCTATGTGTGGACTGTGGAAGCCAAATGGCAGGGGATAGGATTGGAAGGGAGAGACCACATAGGTGGAGCATGTGAAAAGCTAATAATTCACCAGGTTAGTGGGTTTTTATATCTGTGATTATTTCAGAGTTGGTTCTAAAATAAAACAGGAAGGTTAAGGGCCAGCAGTTTGCGTGATAGTTAAGGCACTGGACTTCTACATGACTGACCATGGTTTGAGTCCTGGAGCCAGCAGCTTGAAAATCACGACAGGCACGTATGTGTGCATACCCCAAATCTCTAGAGGAGAATGGAGGAGAAGGGCTTTTGGTGTGGCCATCACCCCTGGGGTTTGTTTGTTTGTTTATTTATTTAAATTTTTTGGAGAGGTTTTTGCTATAGGGCACGTGGGCTCACCAGAAAGAGAGAGACAAAGAGACAGAAAGTGAGAATTCACCCCCCGGGGGGGAGGGCCACATCGCAATCCCTTCTCCTCCATTCTCCTCTTGGGATCTTGGGCACGCATGCACATGTGCCTGGTATGAGTTTAAGCCCCAGTGTCCGGGACTCGAACTGTGGTCGACTACATGGGAGTCCAGAGACATAGCCATTATGCTAACTGCTGGTCCCCCAGGGTTTATTTTTTACTTTTCCTTTCTCCATCTCTCTCTCTCTCTCTCCAGCAAGCACTCACACCCTCTGGCAAAAGTCTAAAAAACAAACAAACAAAAAGCAGGAAGTTTAAAAGAACAGAGTTCTCACCAGGGAGGAAGTGAAAATTGAAACCTGTGAAAATGAATCATTTCTGTGTGTATATGTGGATGCACTAGTGGGTGTATTATATGAGGCAGAATTATTGAATTACATCTGTTTGGGGTACTCACAGAGTAATTTCTATTCAAGTGTGGGTACCTTAATTTCTTCCTTGCAGCTAAGAGATTAGATCCAAGGACCAATGTTATACTTGACCCTTTCTTTCAAAGATTGTATGGTCATACAGTTCTTGAAAATAAAACCCAAATGTCTTATCAGTAGCAGAATATGGATAGAATCTTGGTATATTCATGTAATGTACATTGTAAAGTACATTAGAACCAGAACTGTATGAAACAAAATGCATGTACCGTAAATATAAAAATGGAAAAGTGAATTGAAAAATAATGCAGTTCTGTCTTATTTTACAACAAGACAATGCTGTATACTGTTTATAAGAGAAAGAGTACCAATAAAGGTAAGGCAGTGTTCGTGGGAATCCTAATTCAGGATGGCGTCACCTGCTGGGGGTGTAAAGAGCATGCAGTGTGCTCTCAGCAAGGTACCGTGCAGCGTAGCTGCAGCTGGATAATGAGGAAGAACGCTTTGAAGGAAACGTAGCAACTTAAGATTGGACCGGGCCAGGCATGCGGGGCAAGATTTACGTATTCTCTAGCCTTGCCTTTATGCTTGAAGTATTAAAAAAAGAAACACAACAACAAAAAAAAAGAAAGAAAGAAAAAGGAAAAAGGTAAGAGATGTGATAGTTTAGCATCCTAGTGGGTCACTGTTCTCCCAAGCCACAGCAGACAAGGCCTGTGCTGCCTAATCTGCAGTCATCCAGGCCTCTCCAAACATCTCGTTAGTCTCAGTGTGTTAGTCCTCCTGGGCCTGGTCTGTAGCCCAGGAAGTGTGTCAACTGGTCACAGCAGGTGGTTCTGGGTTGACCTGTTTGGCTGTTCTAAAAGAATCATGGAGCCACCTTTCAGAGTTGTCCTTTAGACTTACTAAGGTCAGTTTAACATGAAATATGGTTACGTTTTTAATTCACAGCAGCCGGAAGAGGGGGCGAAGTTTGCTGTTTCTCAGGCAGCTGTGGTATCTCAATAGGTATCATGAGTGGGGATATATACACAAGAAAGTTCTGAGGAGTTGAAGTTACACTTGTTCCCTGAGGACTGGGTCTTGGGACACACAGGAAATCCCTATCTCCTGTTTTCATTTGGGCTGGGATTTGGCCGTTTCCCTGGTGAGGACACCTCATTTGGGAATCGTGGGACTGTGGCCATCGGAGGGGAAGTGCTGTCCACACATGCTTGCTGGTGTGGATCCGTGTTAAGTGCCAGACACAGGAGATTGACGAAAGGTAGCAGGAAAAGGAACTTCAAAGAAAGTAGTGATTTAAGAGCGCTTAGCAGCCAGTTGCAGTTTCGCTAGTTCTAGCTGCTTCATGTTGTTTTGCAGCCATTTTTGCAGTTGCTATAGAGCATGTTCACTCATCAGAGAGAGAGAGGGAGAGGGAAAGTGAGAAAGCAAGCCACCAGGTCCAAAACTTAAACCGTGGTCGGCCATGCGAAGTCCAGCACCTCAGCCATCATGCCACCCGCTGGCCCGTGAGGTGTCATTCTTGACACGTGGAATGTTTTCTGTATGTCCAGGTGCAAATGTTCTGAGATTAAGAGCTACATAGCACAAGAACATATTTATTTTTTTACTTCTTGGTGGAGACTAGAAGCTGAGCAGCACTCATTGTGTACTGAGTTTGGAGGGGAGAAAATAATACAGAGATGGAACTGGTCCTGGGTGAAAGGAGCGAGCAGAATGGAGATGGAGGTAGGGCAAGGGCAGGGAGGCACAGGACGAGGGGCAGGACAGCGTGGGAGCAGACAGGGCAGCAGGAGTGTGGGCAGTACTCAACACCACTCTCCTCCCCAGTACTTGGGGCCCCAGCCCGCACTCTCTCTCTCTCTCTCTTTTTTTGGGTAGATGAACAATTAGTTAATTTGATGAGCCATAAATTAAGACATAGATATGATTGTCTACATTTTTTATTACTGTATGCCAATAAATGATTGGGATCATTGGTGATATCCAGGTTGCCCTTAGTGAAGATGACTTAACAGTGTTGATGAAGATTTTGCTGGAAAATCTCGGTGAGGCTTCTTCTCAGCCACACCCTACCCAGTCTGCCCCGGAGACTGTGAGAATGAGGAAAGATGTTCTGAGTGGGCCTGACCAGCTCAAAGGTACGTACCGATGAGGATTTTCACTTTGACTCTGGAGAAAACGTAGCGTTATTGTCATATTATGTTGAGTAATTCCAGTGGTCCGGCATAATGTGGTGTGCACTGGTTCATCGTTACAGTATTTACGGTGGGACATCTGCTGGGGCTGGGGCTGGGGCTGGGGCTCTGCCTCTCGGAGCTCCCAGGGATGGACAGCCCTTTTGTGGTAATGAAGGGTCACCTGTGGACCTGTATGGTGCTTGTTTACCCTTCACTGTGAAATCTGGGTTTGCTGAATTCACCATGTGCTGAGGCAGTACACCTTGAGAAAACTATTCACACCAGACATGGTATTATAAACTAATCGCTCATAAATAGTTTTGCTTTGAAGGGACTTCTTTTCATTTAAAAAAAAAAAAAAAGAAAAAGTTCTCTGATACTTTTTGCAAGGCCCTCTCTTTCTTTTTAAAATTTTAATGTAGATATTCTGCCTCTGCCACTTTGTCCTATATTAAAAATATGTGGAATAAGACCAGCAGATGGCATAAGGGTTATGTCACGGACTCCTGCCTAGTTGATGGTAGTTCAAGTCCTGGACCCAGTGGCATAAAACTCATGCTGGGTGTGTGTGCGTGCCTAAGATCCCGAGAGGAGACTAGAGGAAAAGGAATTGCAACACGGCTATCCTTCGTGAGGGGGTGATTTCTCGCTTTCTGTCTCTCTCTCTCTGACAAGGGCGAGCACCCTATAGCAAAAATCTCCCTTAAAAAAATGTGGAATAATCATTGCCATTTTTATTAATGATCTCATAATGTGGCTTGAATCCTAGAAGTGCGATATAAATTTAGAATAAGTATTATTCCAGCTTTTAAAACATGTATAAATTAACATACCTACTTAAAAGGTTTTTGATTTTCATATTCATGTTTCAACCATCAGAACAAGAAGATTTGACAAACTCAAAGCTTTCTGTGGACCCCAACGTCTCTCTGCAATTTGACTTCTACTTTGAATCTCTGTCCATTATTCTTTATAATAATGATATCAACCAGGTATGTCGTAAATTTCTGTATTTAGAAATAATCCTTAGCTCTTGATGCTCAGTTTTAGGATATTGACATTTGTTTACCTGTCCATTAAAAAAATTGGGTATGTACGTAAAATTTCATTTGCACTATAGGCTATGCACTGGTCCCGCCTCTGTCTTCCCTCTGGTAGTGTTTCTGATCTTACAAGGCTATTGTACACTGTATGCGTGCTTTGAAAAAACACACTGCACCTCACAGAGATGTCCAATAATTACATGTAAATCAACAATCATGATTTAAAAAGATGCAGAGAAATTAATTTCTTAAGGCTAAAGAAAAGCTCCTTGAGTTTCATTTCTTTCCAAGTAGCATTAGCATCAAAACACATTTTGATCAATTATAGAGGAATTTTATATGTGAGTAATTTTATATATATTTTTATTGCATAGCTATATATACATATATGTGTATATATGTATATATGCACTTATATATCCATATGTGTGTGTATCTATCTATATATCTATATCTAAGAAGAGTACTTTAGTGGCTTTGGAGTCTTAAGTAATTCTTTTTAAAGTCATGACTGCATTGTGTTTCTATTAAATAAATGTTACATGCAGTAGGTACATATTAAAGCTATGTTAAGAATTGAAGAACCAAGGTCTAATGGCATAATGATTTTTTAATACAGTAGAAACATTTTATTATTTTAAAAATTTGTGCCGAGGGGCACGTGTACTTACTGAAGAGTCAGAGAGAGGGGTTGGCAAACGAGAAAGCACCCGCCTCCTCGTGATGTTCCTTTAATGTATTTTTACCATTTTCTCAGTTAGGGAGAGGCCACCTACTGTGCCTTATCTGTTCTTTCCAACCTCATAGTTCTTACTGCAGTGTTTTATAGAAGAACCCATTGGATGTGTGTTAGTTAGATTGATTCTTTAATTGACAATGTTTTCTGGTTATTTTTATTTGCATTAAACTGTAAGTCAGATAATTTTTGGGTATTAACTGCTGTTGAGTATCAGCACACACATACACATGTCTATTTGTATCACACATATCCTCACAAATACACATATTATTCTTGGTTCCTTTTGTGTTATAGCACCCATTCTTTTAAAATTTGTGAGATTAATTTGCCTTTAAGTTCTTAAGAAATTTGTTTAAAAGTGATTACAGAACATTTAAAGATAACTGATTCTTCTGTTTGGAAAATTCACCATAGGAGTCCAAACTTTCATTTCATAATGACCGTTTCCGGCTTGGCGAACTTAGACTCCACCTTATGGCCTCCGCTGGGAAGATGTGTAAGGACGGCTCCCTGAATGTCAGCCTTAAGCTTCAGACATGCACCCTCGATGACCTCAGAGAAGGCATTGAGAGGGCAACCTCCAGGTTCGTTGGTCTGCGTGCCTCACGCTATTTAAGTCTGGCATTGCATCTAACATGTTTGGGCTTGGGAGCATCAAAAGAGGACTCTGTTTTTTGGCCACTCTTCCTGGTTTGAATTGTATCAAGAAGTAATGTTAACAACAGATTCACCTGCTTTAAGGTTTAAATGAGCGGGAGTTAATAATAAAATGGAGTACCGTCATAAAAATGGGAAGTAAGAGGAGAGAAGTATTTTAATACTAAATGTGCATGGTATGATATGTTGATAATATGTTTTTCTAGATTGTTCCCAGTAGTCAGCTTTTTTTTTTTTTTTTTTAAGCCTTACAGCTGTGGTTCTCTTCATCTTGTTTATTTTGTTCATGTCTTTTAAAACAGTTCTACAGAATGTTATTCAAAATTTTCATAGACAAAGAATCCCGAACATGCTCACATTGCCAACCCATTTTGAAAGATTAACTTACAGGAACCTTCTATGAAGTGGGAAATATGTCACTTCAGTAGCCTAATTATCCTTTTATTTCCATGATCAAATAATGAGGCATAATTTTCCACTTGATTTTGTTGTTGGGGGTGGACCTTTGTTGCTATTATAGTTGGACTCTGTTGGATACATACTAGATACTTCTGAGCCCTTTGTTGTCCTGGGAGGCAATGAATGAGGAGAGCTTGTCTTAGGCACACTTCATGTGTGGGGTCACTGTCCACAGCTCTCGGCAAGGCTGACAGTGCCACCATCAGTTTGGTAGCCTGGTCCTCCCAGTGCCTTTGAGGATGTGTGGGACATCATCGCAGACACTTGGTGAACACTTGGTGATCAGAGGACTTGCAGATCAAATTGTACAGGATGATCTTTGGAGATAAAACCTTTCCCAAAGGTTTTATTTCATACAATAATATAATTACATTCTGTGGAAACATATTGATGTGTTTTATGATTGCCCACATTTCTTTCCAGCAGTCCTTGATTTGTTTTTCTAGTATTGCATTATCATTATAAAACATTCTGTAGTTCCTTACTAGCGTGAATCTTGCTTGGAGAAGAGGAGACTGCGTCTTGATCACTACTTGGGAATAAGATTTTAGTTAACACTTTCCCTTTTTGATTCAGATTAGAAACTCAAAGGTGAAAGAAACATTATTAAAGTGCATAGGGAAATTGTCATTCTTTTGTTGTTTTAGCAGGACTAAAACAATGAATGGTATATTCCTTTTCAGAATGATTGACAGAAAGAGTGACCAAGATAACAACAGTTCTATGATTGATGTAAGTTACAAACAAGACAGAAATGGAAGCCAGATCGATGCTGTTCTTGACAAGCTGTACGTGTGTGCCAGCGTGGAATTCCTGATGACTGTGGCCGATTTCTTTATCAAAGCCATGCCTCAGAGTCCCGAAAATGTAGCAAAAGAAACACAGATTCTGCGACAGACTGCGGCAGGGAAAGCCAGGGCAGAAAAAGGTTAGCAGGATTTGTCTGTTGTAGATGGCAAGTTATTGTACGGTTTAATAAAAATTACAAAAAGGAGAGAAGAGAAATGGCGAACCTTATGAATGTAAAATCAGTCTTTGAGTTTTGTACATGATCTGGGGGCCAGGAATCTGCTCTGGATCTCAGGGCCATTAACATTTCTTTACTCACCTGAAAGGGGTCAGTGGTTGGCAGCATTTTATGGAGAGGAATTTTTCGTTAAATAAAACATTCTGTTGAATTCTGGCACATTAAAGAGCAGCTGAAAAGCTGGAAGGAGGAGGCAGTCATGTTGGAGGTCCCAGCGTAACTCTCCTGGATATCAGCTCACCTCTTTGAACTCTTGAACAGCTTGTAAATGCACGGGAGGACCTGGGATCTGAACCGGCCCTTCCCATGTTAGTCCAGTTGTGTTATTGTCACACCACTTCTTGGACTTTATAGTATCTTTATTCTATAGCATTGTTAAGTAGATCAGTGATTTCCAGGGTTAAAATTGTCTAAAGTCATTTTTCTCTCTAATGTGTAACCAAGCAAGATTGGAAAACTAGATTTACGGGCAAGGTAAGAATGTGATTTTTCCAGCATCCTTGCTGTTCTTTGCCAGTAATCAGATGTGATATCTCTGCATTTGTGCATACATGGATTCCTCTGTACAGCAGATTACATGACATGGTGTGCTGTTGGTGACATCGAAGGACATCAGTAACGGTGGTCTGCTTCAGGCTCTCTTTTCTCTTCCTGGTATTCTCCTCCACTTCTCCTTTTCTTGCCCTGCCTCCTGGCATTATATGAACTTAGGTCTGCATATGTGCACAGACTTTATTCCTGACCAACCGAAACTCAAAACAAGATCATTCCTGTTAGAGTAAAGTAGGAATGAGCTTCTTGGGACAGGGATCAGACTGCATGATCTTGCACAGTCAGTATTTGTTAATAATCATCTAATCATTAGTATTAACCTATCAATTAATATTGTTAATTTTGCCATTATAGCAAAATATTGAGAACAATTTAGGAACTGTAGTTTAGATCACCTATTGTCAAGTGACAAGATTTATCTTAAAGCTTTTTGGTTCTCGTGTTTGTTTCTTCAGATGACTCTGTAAGACCAAACATGACCTTAAAGGCTATGATCACAGATCCGGAAGTGGTGTTTGTCGCCAACCTGACCAGGGCCGATGCTCCCGCTCTGACAGCCTCGTTCCAGTGCAACCTCTCCCTGTCAACATCCAAACTGGAACAGATGATGGAAGCTTCTGTCCGAGATCTGAAAGTGCTCGCCTGCCCTTTTCTCAGGGAGAAGAGAGGGAAGAACATTACTACAGTAAGAATTAACCTCCTCTCTGCATCTTGCATTGAAGAATGGTAGCAATGTTGATTCCTAGAATCCTGGCATTGGAGAGCTCTGCAGGGGTTTTGCAGATAATGATGTTGAATTACAAAGACGTTAAATGACTGAACCACGCCTGGGAGTGACAGAACTGGGACTACCCCAGACTGGGCTGTTTGGGATTTTTATTTTTAAATTACATTATCTGCTCTTGAATAATATTTCAATTTTAGTGTAAGTCAATATTGTTTTTCAGCTGTTACTTTTGCTTGCCATAGTGCGCTCAGCAAATGCGTGAATGACGAGTGAGTGAATATGAAAGTTTAGGATGAAAAATTCTGCTTCAAGTTATGTGATCAAAAGAGATGATATTCTGCTGTTTTAAAAGTTATTTTCAGTTATATTTTTGCATTATTACCGAAAAAACAAAATTTTAGTTAATTTATATGCAAAATATTTTAAAGTGAACTTGATAAATTTATGGTAAGAGAGTTATTATATGATTCATTTGCAGTATTTCTTTAAATTTTAAAGTTTCGTGAGCAAGGCAATATGCATAAAGAAATGAAATGCATAAAGAAATGTATACTTTATCATAAAATACTCTTAGCATCTTTAGACATGTCATAGCCAACTTAAAAGTTCATCTTAATTTTTTTTTTAAGAGAGAGTTTTTTTGCTATTGTGAGCCCGGAGAGACAGAGAGAGATAGAGAGACAGAAAGCGAAAAATCTACCCCCAGGGTGGATGGCCGTGCTGTAGTCCCTTTTCCTCCATTCTCCTCTTGGGATTTTGGGCATGTACACACGCATGCCTGATATGAGTTTTAAGCTACTGAGTCTGGGACTCAAACCGCTGTTGACTACATGGGAGTCCAACAATGTAACCATTACACCATCTACTGGTCCCTATCCTAATTTTTAATAATGATAGTTCTGCAGTACTAATTCACCCATTCAGTTCAGGTGCATGGTTATTTTATTTATTTCTTTAATGATCAGAATATAGACTTCAAGACTGTAGTAAATCTAATTTGAAGATTTGAAATTTATTCCAAACGTGACCTTATCTGATATTGTTGATCACCTGATGGTTCATTTAGCTGCCTTGCCATAATCTAGCCCATTTTTTAAAAAAGTATTATTTAACTTTATTTATTTATTTATTTTAATATGACCAGAGAGGGACAGAGTGAAAGAGAGAGAGAGGGAAAGTGAGAAAGCAGGCTGTCAGGTCCAGGACCCGGACCACAGTCAGCCATGGGGGAGTCCAGCGTCTTTAACCACCATGCTACCTGCCAGCCCCTCTTGCTGATTTTTATAGATATCACAAAATTGTATTTACAGAGAGCATCATTTAAAAATATTGGCAAAGAAAATATTTCAAATTTCTTCTTATAAATTTGTACCATTACTCAGGGATTTGGCATGACGGCATCATTAGAACTGCTTAAAGTTCTTTAACACTGTTTATAGATTAGTCACCGTTCAGAAGAGCCTTCAGAGATGTTCAGCTAATTTAACTTGCCTTTTATTAATAGGTTATAGTCAAAGACCCCAAGGTAAATAAGATACAGTTCTTGTACGTGGGTTTACATATATAACGGATCTGTCACTAAGGAAATATGAATTTCATTTATTTGTTTTTAGGTTTTGCAACCCTGCTCTTTATTTATGGAAAAATGTACATGGGCTTCTGGAAAACAAAACATAAATATTATGGTAAAAGAATTTACAGTTAAGGTTAGTGCTATCATATTGCCTAGGTGAAAACCAGTTCTTTTTTTCTTAACAATATCATGTCTTGCAGTTACTTTTGACAATAACTTTTGAAGTTTCTCATAAGTTGAGCCTCATACTAGTTACGTATTCAATAATCAGTAAATGTGTCTTACGTTAAGACACAGTTTTCTTTAACGCAAGTATTTATTTCTATTTTCTTTAAAAGAGTACTTTTTAATATTAATGATCTGGGTGTTTTTTCTTTATTATATTAGTATGTGTGCATTGGGGATAATGAGTTGGAGGGGAGAAGAGAGATGGAGTGGGAAAAGAAGGAAGGAAAGTATAGAGGGATAAAACTGCTGTTACGTTATTTGTGATTAGTCATTTCAGGCTTTTATATGATACATAAATTATTTTTTAACTGCCGGAGGGTTTATGTACTCACTTGAGAAAGACAGAGAAAGGGAGAAGGAGAAAACACCCCTCAGTGGGTCACGGCTACACCATAGTCCCTTCTCCTCCATTTGTCCATCTCATTGGGATTAGAGGCCTCCGGGGCTGGGACTGGAACCATGACTGGCCATGTGGGACCCGGCTCCCTTGGCCGTTAGGCTGTGGGGCTGAACCAGTATTTGATGTATAATTTGAACTTAATAACTGTGATTAAATGTCTTATTTATCTTAGAAACTATTTATACCGGAAGATACATGCTAGGCATATACTATTAAGGTTTCCTATTTTTATGTCTCTGACATTGAAAGTCTTGGAAAAAAACAAATATTGCTGATGATATTCAGACTTTAAATGTGACTTATTGCTAGGTTATAAGCAGAAGACAGAATCCTTTATAAAACCCATTTTTCTCTCTGTCCAGACGTACAAAAATGAGGTGGGTAATGCCAATAATGATAGTAGCTTTACTTATCCAGATCGGTGACCAGCAGTGATTGAACCAAGGCTCAAACCAAAGTTTATTTGGAGTGCCAAGACAGTAATAATGTGGTTTTGTCTCAGTATTTTAGAATACTGGACCTTCTTAGACTGTATCTTACTAACAGATTTACTTTTTTTTAAAAAAGAGAATCATTTAATTTTATTTATTATTATTATTATTATTAGTAGTAGTAGTAGTAGTAGTAGTGTTTTTAAATTTGATCAGTTAGAGAGAGACAGAAAGTGCAAAAGCAAGCCTCCACTTCCAGGACTTGAACCATGGTCAGCCATGCAGCAGTCTAGCGCCTTAACAATCGTGCCATCTGCTGGCCCCAGATTTGCTTTTTTAAAGCTATGAAGTGGGCGGGAGGGCTAGGATTCCTTGACTTTACATGTATTTTCTTTAAGGTACTAAGGAGCTGGGAGCTGGGATTTTCTGTTTCTTTGCACTTGGATTTATTTATTATTTAGCAAACTTTATTGAGTTCTTGCTATGTGCAAAAAAAAAAAGTCCAGTATAAGGCATTAAGAATACATGGTTTCTGCCTTCCAAAAATGTAATGGCATATGTGAGAGAAGTGAGTAAATGAATGATTATAGCTTTCAGTGCTAAAGGAATGCTCAAGGTGCTGGTGAGAATGTGGGCAAACCAGCACATCAGGGAGAACTGTCTGGAAGTGGGACCACTTAAACTGAGTTCTGAAAGACTCGTAGATGTTAAGTAGATGGAGAGGAGGAGGAGGGATGTCCAGACGGATCTGACAGTATGCATGGAGGCCATAGGTGTGAAAAAATTCTTGAAGACTTCAGGGGTGGGCCGAAGTGACTGGAGAGAATAGGGTGGTAGAACTGTCGGACTGGAAGCATTAATTACAGGTGACAGTGATAAGGCAAGGGAAACAAAGGGTTCAGGTGACAGGTTAAGTTAGGAAAACACTATGCACCAGATCCTCCTCTGAGTGATGTCATTATACCTTTTTAGCATATTAAGTAAGGGTCGTAAGAAGTGGATAATAATGGGATCTATTTAACTTACTTAACCCAGTATTTCTCCAACTTTGGGAAATTGTGGCCAGCTAATTGAATAGGCACTAGGCTACAAAGAGCTTGTGTAATATCCTGAAAGTTATCTAAAGTAGCTACAGATTCTAGGCATAAGACTGACATGCCCAGATTTGGGTTTTAGAAAAAATCATTTTGGCAGCAGTGTGAATGGTAGGCTGAGAGGGTGCTGAGTACACACAGATGTCGTCAGTGTAGACGTGAGGCACAGCCATGGCAGTGAGGCAGGTGAACAGGGTGCAGGTAGAATGTGCAGATCTTGGGGTAAATCAAAAGGGATCTGTGATTTCCAGACTTTCTTTTTCAGTAAGACAAATGGAAGCCCTATGTGTGTTATCTTGATAAGGAATACACACTTTGTCTGAGTTAATACAGCTGGTTGCAAAATGAACAGTTCAGTCCCATCTCTGCACTTGCCTATTCATGTAACAGTTTGCTGTGAAGGGATCATCTTAGCTTTATCCTTGGACCACTGGCATTCCAGGTAACCTAAGTGGAAGTCAGTGTTCTTCAGCTAGTTGATTTGACACATGTATGTTTTCTTAGTTATGAATTCAATACATTTACATTTTGAATTAATTACTTTTTAACTTCTTTTGCTCTGTATGTATTAGCTCTCATCTGGGAAAGAAGTTATTCTAAATATTTTTTCTCTTTTCTTTTTAAAAGATTTCACCCATAATTCTCAATACTGTGATGACAATAATGGCTGCTATGTCTCCAAAGACCAAAGAAGATGAATCCAAAGATACATCCAAAGAAATAGAAAATCTGTGGGGCATCAAATCTATCAGTGATTATAATTCCTGGTTTCTTGGTGTTGACATGGCAACAGAAATAACAGAAAGCTTCAATGACATTGGACATCCCATGACAGAGGAAAACTGCGCTATTGCTGTGGAGGCCGTTCAGGTGACCCTGGAGTGTGGTCTTGGCCATCGGACTGTCCCTTTGTTGTTAGCAGAGTCTAAGTTTTCAGGAAATATTAAGAATTGGACTTCTCTAATGACTGCTGCTGCTGACATGACCCTGCAGGTATGGCTGCATTATTCTTTGGTGATATTTTTGTAATTTTTTTTTTCCGAATAATTTTCTGTGCCAATAAAGTGAGAAAGTAAAGGAGAACACACCCTATTTATATATAGTTTGTGTCTTTAAGTGAGTTTTTAAGATGGCTACTGACCTAAAGCATTAGTTACTTAGTAGTTTTTTTCTACTGGCTACAGAAATATGTAATTAAGGTTGAAAGACATGCTTATTTTAATTCTGTGCCTTTCCAGGTTCACTATTACAATGAGATCCATGCTGTCTGGGAGCCACTGATTGAGAGAGTGGAGGGGAAAAGACAATGGAACTTAAGGCTTAATGTAAGGAAACCATAAAATATCTTTGTATGTATGTTGGTATAGACAAATTACACATATTCATTAGTATTTTTTAATTCAGGACTTTTATGGTCCAGGATCCTTGAACCCCTGTATTTTCACAGTAATACTCAGACATTATATATAATCTTTTTTTTTTTTTTTTTGAGAGGTTTAAGCTATAGGGCATGTACGCTCGCCAGAAAGACAGAGAGAGACAGAGAGACAGAAAGCGAGAAATCACCCCCCAAGGGGGTTGGCCACACAGCAATCCCATCTCCTCCATTCTCCTCTCAGGATCTTGGGCACGCATGCACATGTGCCTGGTGTGAGTTTAAGCCACTGGTTCTGGGACTCAAACCATGATCAACTACATGGGAGTCCAGTGACATAGCTATTACGCTAACTGCTGGTCCCCATTATATATCATTTTTAAATTATTATTCTCTCATGATTATACAGTGGTGTTTTTCAGAGACTGTATAAATGTGGTATTTCAACAGATTGAATACAGCATGGAAATATAATTCATCTATCTTTTCTTAAGCAGGCATTGAAGAGTGATAAAGCCTCCTTCATCACTATTTGTATTTTTTAATACTTATTTTCATCAAAAATGTGATTTGCATTAATAGCATTTTTTTTTTTTTTAGAGGTTTTTGCTATAGGGTATGTACACTCACCAGAAAGCGAGAGATAGAGGAGAAGAAAGTGAGAAATCACCCCTCGGGGGGATGGCCACACCGCAATCCCTTCTTCTCCATTCTCCTCTTGGCATCTTGGGCACGCACACAGATACACCTGGTGTGAGGTTAAGCCACTGGGTCTGGGACTGGAACTGCGGTCGACTACATGGGAGTCCAGTGACATAGCCATTATGCTAACTGCTGGTCCTACAATTTTTATTTTTAAATGAACATCAAAAAATTTCTCTTAATTTTGTTTTTTAAGGTTTTTGCCATAGGGCACATGTGCTCGCCAGAGAGACAGAGAAAGAGAGAGTGATGGAAAGTGAGAAATCACCTTCTGGGAAATGGCCACATTGCATGCCCTATGTAAAATCTTATATAAAGGCATTACTGGTAAAAAGTAGAAGAAAAGATACTGTTATTTCTAGACAGTACATTCAGTGAGAATCTGTCTAGACTTGAGAGTCGTCTTCAATGCCCAGCAACGCGAAACTGCCGTCTAGGTGACACTAAGTAATGGCACTGCGGGTGGTGCATGACGGGCGCTTGCTGTGGCTGTCCTGGGGCTTGCACGGCACCGTCCTAGGCGTTCTCTGCATGGCGTAGTGCTGGTACCGAAAAGATGCCGATCTGCACTAAATCCGGCTGAAGCACAGAGTATTTAAAAAATACTAACCAATGCAGGAGAACTTAATGCTATTGACTATCATAACTGTATTATTAGTGGGCTAAAACTTAAATTTCTTCTTATCTATTCTCATAGGTGAAAAAGAACCCGGTCCAGGATAAAAGTTTGATGCCAGGAGATGATTTTATTCCTGAGCCACAAATGGCCATTCACATTTCTTCAGGAGATACAATGAATATAACAGTATCCAAAAGCTGTCTTACTGTTTTCAACAACTTAGCAAAAGTATGTGTGATTCTTGTTTAGAATATTTCAAGTGGAATTTTAAGATGAAACTTGCATGGAGGGTTTTTTGCCATCAAAATGAGCTTCTTAAAAAATGTGTAGTCATGGCATAGTTTTTGAAGCGAACATAGATATTACAAAAATTGCATTGTGATGGTGTTTCATCTTTTCAGGGTTTTTCAGAAGGCACTGCTTCTACTTTCGACTATTCTTTGAAAGACAGGGCTCCTTTCACTGTAAAAAATGCTGTGGGTATTCCCATTAAGGTGAGGCCCAATCATAATTTCAGAGTTGTGGGCTGCACTGAGAAAAGTCATATTTATGATGTTGATGCTGGCCAGAATTTGGAACTGGAATATGCCAGCCTTGAACCTTCACGTCAAGGGAAACTGTCTATACTGAGCCGTCAAGAAAGTTCCTTCTTCACTCTGACTTTTGGTATGCTATGTTTGTTTTATTTTAAGGTTATCTTATGAGTTGTTTTTGTGGACTTATTTTATGATATAGTATAGAAAATATTTTGCTGCACATATCTTGGGGGACAACATGTCTTGGGAGACAAAGGCTTCAAAAAAGTCGTCGATAAACTCTTGTTTCTTCTAATCCTGAGAAAATTGAACTTGGTTAATTTAAGTTAGAAAACAAGATTATTTCACACCCTTAAATAATAGAGTATATGATATGCTTTGAAAAGAGTGGAAGTTCAATGAAGAGAGAAAATACCTATATTCAGAAGTTCTGAAATATTGACTGCATTTAGAACTATTAGAAAGAAAAGGAAATTGTTACATAGTAGAAAGAATAATAAATAATTTATATCTTATTTGTTTTAACAAGAAAAATTGTTTTAGGTCAAAAATTTTTGTTAGTAACTGATTTCTTTAGTTTCTGTGTTTTAGAAAAGCAGTTCGTAGTGATTTCTGGTCACGAGGAAAGAATATTCTGGTCATTGTTTTGAGGTCCTGGTGGTTGGTTATTCTGTCATGGAAGAATGCTGGTAAATCTAATATTTGGAATTGCCCTCCCTTTACTTTGCCTAGTACCTCACGGGTATACAGAAGTCGCCAACATCCCCGTTGCCAGGCCGGGACGGCGGTTGTATAACGTGCGGAATCCCGGTGCCAGGCATTCCGACTCGGTCCTGGTGCAGATCGATGCCACTGAGGGGAATAAAGTAATTACCCTGCGTTCTCCTCTGCAGGTAATGCTTTAAAGTGAATCGTATCCCTTTCAGTATATCAAGAAAGATTACATGATTTAGCTGTATAGTAAAACTTGATTAGGTCACTAATGATTACTCACAAATAAATAGGAAACGGGATTTTATCCAACCTGCTTCTGTTACATTGTCTGTCTTAAGTGTCTGATAAAAACAGTTTTGCTAATTTAAAGCCCCTATTTATTGTCTCCAGGATTTACAAATAATGAAGATGTTTTTACATATACCTTTAAACATTCTGTATTTAAGAATATTGTAATTGGGGCCAGCAGGTGGCATGGTTGTGAAGGTGCTGGACTCCCATGTTGCCCACTATGGTGTGAGTTGCCAGACCTGGCAACTTGAAAATCACACTGTGTGAGCATGCATATGTGCCCAGAATCCCAGCAGGAGAGTATAGAGAAGGGATTACAGTTTGGTCATCTCCCCAGGAGGTTGATTTCTTACTTTCTTACTTTCCATCTCTCTCTCTCTCTCTCTCTCTCTGTGTGTGTGTGTGTGTCTGGTGAGTGCACACATTATAGCAAAAGAAAAAACTAAAAAGAACAAAAGAATTTGGTAATTATAGTTGGTAAATAGTATATAACATACCATTTTTTTATGTGTCACTCTTAATTGTATTTTTCTTTTCTCCTCCATTCTTCTCTTGGGATTTTGGGCACACACGCACATGCACCTAGCGTGAGTTTCGAGCCGCTGGGTTTGGGTCTTAAACTATGGTTGGCCATGTGGGAGTCCAGTGCCTCAACCACCACTATGCCACCTGCTGGCCCCTCAGTTGTAGTTTTCATATATGAATGAAGGAATGTTGGAATAATTCCTGAAAAAAAATGTACTATTTTAATCTGTATGAATAGTTCCTTTTCTACTTTAAGGCTTATTACACATTGTTTTTCTATGTACTACGGTATTTCTTCCTACTTAAAACATCAAATACAAGTAGAAATATTTCATATTTTGTCCATTGTTGTCCTTTAGTTCATGTTTAGTGCCAGCATTCATAAAACTGTAAATGAGAAAAAAAAAGTGACACTATTTTTCTTTGCTACCCATTTCTGTTCAGTCTCATGGTAGATTGAGAAAGGGTTGTAATGAGAAAATATGGTTGAAATCTTCAAAGACTAAGAATACAATAATACATTTTTGTTTTGTTTTGATTTCAGTCACATGGTAGATTGAGAAAGGGTTGTAATGGAGAAAATATGGTTCAAATCTTCAAAGACTAGAATACAATAATACATTTTTGTTTTGTTTTGTTTTGTTTTGTTTTGAGAGAGATTTTTTCTATAGGGTGCGTGCACTTGCCAGAAATACAGTGAGAGACAGAAAGCAAGAAATTGCTCCCCAGGGGGAATGGTTATGCCTCGATCCCTTTTCCTCCATTCTCCTCTCGGGATTTTGTCACACACACACACACACACACACACACACACCCAGCATGAGGTTTTTTTTTCTTTTTAAGGTAGAATTTTACTATAGGGCATGTGCCCTTGCCAGCAAGACCGAGAAGCAGAAAGCGAGAAATTACCCCCTGGAAGGTATGGCCATGTTGCAGTCCCTTCTCCTCCATTCCTCTCTTGTGATTTTGGGCACACATGCACATGCACCTGGCATGAGTTTTAGGCTACCAGGTTTAGGACTCAAACTGCAGTCGACTGTGTGGTAGTCCAGTGACGTTAACTATTATGCCGTCTTCTGATCCCAATTATATTTGTTTAAAAGATGATACCATAGACTTAACAAACATAAACATGTAGTATACAGAGCGTATAAATATTTTGATTTAAACTGCCACTTAAACATCAAGTTTACTTACTATATATAGCACTTGACTGTGTCCTAAAATTTTTACTTTAGTATAAATATTCTTGGATTTGAAACTTTCTACGTCTGAAAATAATTGTGTTCAGCTTATATTTTTCTTTTGAACTTACATATTTTTTTAACTACTTGCATGTCTTTTTCGCCAACAGATTAAAAACCATTTTTCTATTGCTTTTGTCATCTATAAATATGTTAAGAATGTTAAGCTATTGGAGCGCATTGGAATAGCCAGACCTGAAGAGGAATTCCACGTTCCTTTGGATTCATATAGGTAAACACCTCTCTAAGTATACTAGGCTTGAAAAATTTTATACTACATATTTTTTTTAAGAATGATTTATTTATTATCATTCTTTTTCAGTTTTGATCAGAGAGAGAGAGTGTAAATGGTCGGGTCCAGGACTCAAACCGTGGTTAGCCGTGTGGGAGTCTAGTGTCCTTAACCACCATGCTACCTGCTGGCCCCTCATACTACATATTTTTAACTTTTATGACTTTGGGGATCTATACTCTGAAAGCATAACCTCCTATTTTTATTATCTTTACCTATAAAAGCCAGTTTTAACTTTTAGTTTTTTGGTATAGGGTGTGTGTGCTTGCCAGAGAGAGAGAGAGAGAAAGTGAGAAATCACCCTTTAAGGGAATGGCCATTCTGCAATTCTTTCTCCTCCATTCTCTTCTTAGTATGTGGGACATGACGTACACATGCCCAGCATGGTTTTTCAAACTGCCAGGTCTGAGACGAACTGTGGTTCATTCTTACTACCTTAACCACCATGCCACCAGCTGGCCCAGCCAGTCTTAGCTTTTAATTTATATTTAAGTATATATAGTTTATTTTTTTATAGAAAAATAATTTATCGTTTAAATTTACCAAATAAAAATTCCTCTTTGTATTTTTGATATTTTAGAATTTTTGGAGACTTCGGTTATTAGATTACTTTGTATTTGAAATAAGAATTTAAAAAATTTTTCCTTGTTTACAGAATTCTCCTGCCCCCAGAAATTTCCTCTGTGAATTAGATTATGCCTTTGGGCAAGTTTCTTTTTTTGTTTGTTTTTTTTTGTTTGTTTGTTTGTTTTTGGAGAGGTTTTTAGCTACATGGCGCATGCGCTCGCCAGACAGACAGAGAGAGACATAGAGACAGAAAGCGAGAAATCACCCCCCAGGGGGGATGGTCACGCCGCAATCCCTTCTCCTCCATTCTCCTCTTGGGATCTTGGGCACGCACGCACACGTGCCCGGCGTGAGTTTTAAGCCACCGGGTCCGGGAGCGAACCGCAGTCGACTACGTGAGGGTCCAGCGACATAGCCATTACGCTAACTGCTGGTTCCCCAATGGGCAAGTTTCTTAATCTCTCTTTGCCACAATTTCCTCAGCTGTAGAAAGCATAGTCTTACCTCCTACCTTGTTGAGTTGTCAAGAAGATTTCATGAGAGTCTTGTTCTTAAGTTCTTGATCAGAACTGTGCCCCACTCTGTCTTCTTTTCTGCAGATGCCAGTTGTTTCTTCAGCCAGCTGGGGTCTTAGAGCACCAGTACAAAGAATCGACCACTTACATTTCCTGGAAGGAAGAGCTGCACAGAAGCAGGGAAGTCAGGTGCATGTTGCAGTGTCCCTCCAGAGAGATTAACTTTCTGCCTCTCATCGTGAATACAGTCGCTCTGCCTGACGAGTTAAGTTACATCGCTGCACACGGGGAAGACTGGGACCCGGCGTACATCATCCACTTGTACCCTCCGCTCACTCTGAGGAATCTTCTCCCCTATTCTCTAAGATATTTACTTGAGGTATGCCTCTTGAATTTGTTTCGATTTTTATTACTGCACAGAATGAATTTTAGTTAAGTTTTATGTTATTTTTAGTTGGGGGGGGTCAGTGTTTTTTTTTTAATATTTATTTATTTAATTTTATTTATTATTTTTTAATTTAATGAGAGAAGGAGAGAGAGGAAGAGAGAAAGAATGAGAGCAAGTCGCCAGATCCAAGACTCAGACCATGGTAGGCCATGTGGGAGTCTAGCACCTCAACCACCACGCCACCTGCCAGCCCCACGGGGGTCAGTGTTTTGTAGAGCATGTTTGTAATACTTTGTTTTTTAGAGTTATTTTTAACTTTATTTTATTTATTATTATTATTATTATTATTTTTAATTTGCCCAGAGAGACAGAGAGAGAGAGAGAGAGAGAGAGTGTGTGAGAGAGAGAGAGAGAGGGAAAGCAAGCCACACCCTCAGGACTGAACTGAGGTCAGCCATGTGGAAGTCCAGCACCCTCAGCCTCCACGCCAACTGTTGGCATCATGTCTGTAATACTTTAAAAATGCTGTCTCAGTCCATTTTGTGCTGCTGTCACAGAGTACCACAGATGGAGTAATTTATGAACAGTAGACATTTTCTGGCACAGAGTTGTGGAGGCCACATCTGGCGAGGGCTTCTTGCTGCACGGTGACATGGCAGAAGGCATCACCTGGCATGCCAGCGTGGAGATAGAGCAGGAGAGGGCAAACCTGCTTTTAAAGCAAACCAGTGCTGCAGTGAGGGCTCTCAGAAGTGGTACTCCATTGGTGCTTGTCGTTGTGATGGCAGAAACCAGCTCTTACAGGCAGAGGCCTCGTGCCCTGATCACCTCCTGAGGGCCTCCTCTCACACACCCCAGTTGGGTTTAGTTTCCAGTCCGTGCACGGGGGCGGGGGCGCACGTTCAGACCTTACTGAATATTGGTGATAGTAAAGTCTGCTTTACGCGCATTGATATATTCAGTCCTTACCATAGCCTCTTGATGCAGTGCTGTTATTAGACTCATTGCACAGATGGCAGCAGAGCCACAGGTTCAACAAGGGACTCAGACTACACAGCTAGTAAACTGGGGAGCTGGATTCCAGCCGAGGCAGTTTTACTTCTTGATTTTTGCCGTTTTTCTGCTGCATCTACATTAAGAATCATTATCATCTCTTTTTCAAGTAAAATGTCAATAACTAAAGATTAGAAAAAAGCCAATGAGGAAATACTTAAAGTAATACTTTTATTTGAAAGTTAATATTATGAGTATTTGGTCCCAAGGTCCTGTTGAAAATAAAAATTATTATTATCTGTCCTAGGAATGAGGAACATATTTTAGAGATGGGTTATGATCAATATGTTAAAATTTGTACACAGCATGATAATTAAAATGTTAGAAGTTGGGACCCACAGTTGGTGTAATTGCTGTGTTGCTGGACTCCCATGTAGTCGACTGTGGTTCGAGTCCCGACCTGGTGGTTTAAACTCACGTCGGGCATGTGTACATGTATGCCCAGGATCCCGAAGGGAGAATGGAGGAGAAGGGATTGTAGCATAGCCAAAGCCCCCTGGGGAGTGATTTCTTGCTTTCTTTCCGTCTGTCTCTCTCTTTCTGATGAGCACACACACCCTATAGCAAAAAACTCTCCAATAAATAAATAAATAAATGAATGAATGAATGAATGAATGTCTGGAAAGTATTTCAAACTGAAATTATTTCTCTTCTTTATCTGACAGTGAGCCATTCCTGAATTGTGGAGATGAACATTAATTAAATGAACTAAGTAGTATTTATATAAGAAACGCTATCCATAAGAAAACCTGATTTATATGTTGCTATTATTTGTTTAAAAATAATTCTACCTTACTTAGTTTGCGGACTAGCAGGACGTTGCTTTCCTTATCCCATTTATAGGGGACTGTTAGGCATGGGATGCGACTAGGGGAAGAAGCAGAGGCCCAGGCCCTTCTATGCTCTTGGGTGATGCAGCTCTAATGGAAGCGGCCAGGGTCCCTAAACCCAGTCTTGTGGCCTGGAGACCATTTCTACCTGTGGCTATGGTACAGTGTTTTCTTTTTAGTCCTTAGTGATTATTGGGCATTAATGATATGTAAACATGGAACTTGGCAGTTAACTGCATCTGATAGTTATTAGTATTTGTGTGAGACCTAGGTTTTGCAATTTCAGAGGTTTTAAAATAATCTCTAAGCAGAGTTTTCATTTGTTTTTAGGGAACGGCAGAAACCCATGAGCTCGCAGAAGGCAGTGCGGCTGACGTTCTGCATTCGAGAATCAGTGGAGAAATAATGGAGTTAGTCCTGGTGAAATACCAGGGCAAGAACTGGAGTGGACATTTCCGCATATCTGATACGCTGCCCGAGTTCTTTCTCGTGTGTTTTTCTTCCGACTCAACAGAAGTAATGACAGTCGACCTGTCGATACACGTCCGGCGACTCGGCAGCCGACTGGTGCTGTCTGTCTTCAGTCCCTATTGGCTAATCAACAAGACGTCGCGGGTTCTGCAGTATCGTTCAGAAGACATTCATGTGAAACACCCAGCGGATTTCAGGGACATTATTTTATTCTCTTTTAAGAAAAAGAATATTTTCAGTAAAAATAAGGTATGTTGTTATCCATATAACAAGTAAAAAATAGATGAACAACTAATCTAGAGACTTCAGAATGACTTGCCTCCCCTAAAACCATGGTAACCTTAGCACTAAGTGCCATGGGTATGAATTAGGTCCAAGGAGACGTAAGGAATTAATAATCAGGTGGGAAGTTAAGAACTTCCAGCAGTAGTGTTCCCAGGCTCGGTCACACTGTTCTGTTCCTGAAGTGGTGTCAGATAGAATAGCTTGATTTTATGTACTTTCCCAGTGATGAAATGAAAGTTCTAAAGATGCAACAGTGGAAGTTGGCTTAAATTGGCTGAGTCCGTGTGCCACTAAGTCAGGTCTTTGGGGCAAAAACATAATAACCAAGCCTGGTCCTTTATTCTCTAGTCCCTCTTCCCTCTTTAGACTCATGCCCTGTATTCCTCACCAAGAACCTGTCCAGCTTCTGCCCTCTACACGTTTTTCATGTACTTCACCCCTAAGGCTTTTTCTTTACTTTCCCCGAAAGTGTTCTTCAAGTTACCTGCTATTTATCCTTTGGCATTCTGCTCAGGCCTGGTATATTTATAAAGATTTTCTTTCTTTCTTTCTTTTTTTCTTAGAATTACTTTATTTATCTATCTATCTATTGATTTTAATTTTATGAGAGAGAGAGAAGAGAAAGGTAAAGTGAGAAAGCAAGCTGTCATGTCCAGGACCCAAACTGTGGTTGACCGTGTGGGAGTCCAGCGCCCTTAACCCCCACACTACCTGTTGGCCCCAACATTTTCTAACCATTTAAAACAGGTCTTATGCTGGCCTTGTAGCCTAATGGTTAAGGAAACCAGATCCCATGTAGCTGACCGCAGTTCGAATCCTGGCAATAGTGGCTTAAAAAGTACTCCAGGCGCGTGTACATGCATGTCTAGCATCCTGGCAGGATGGAGAAATGGAGGAGAAAGGATTACAGTGTAACCAGGCCCCACTGGAAGTGTGCTTTCTCTCTCTCCTTCTCTCTCTCTCTGTTTCTCTTTGGCAAATGCATATCCCTTCTGACAATTAAAATTGTAAAAAACAAGGTAAAATAAAATGGGTCTAGTGTCCCATTCATGTCCTTATAGAGTAGTGATTCTTAAATTTCAGCATTCATTAGAATCACCTAAAGGGCTTTTAAAACCATGGTCTTGCCCAGAGTTTCATTTAGTAGGTCTGGGTAGGGCCTGAGAATTTGCATTTCTAAGATTCTCAGTTGATGGCAGTTGCTGCTAGTCCAGGGACTTCTTTGAGAACCGTTTACATGTGGTATTATAATTACCCACTTATGTGTCTGAACTCCGCTAGTTGTCCTAAGGTTGTTCATATATAGGTGAGTGGGCTGTTGGGGGAGACCAATGCAGGGCCAGAGTTAGGTCTCTTCTATAAGACTTTATCCAAATCCAAGAGCCAGAGGTAGACTGTCCACCCCTCACCATGATTGCATTTTGTACCTCTTGTATGGCTTTGATCACATTGGGCCGTGCATCATCATCATTAGTATGCACCTTCTATTCTCTCTGTTTAGTTGGAAGTTCACTGAGGGCAGTAACTATGTCTATTATCTTCCATTCTACTCATGACGATGCCTTTCCTTTCACGCCTGCTGAATGTTCTCTCTGTGACACTATTTTAAGAATTTGTTAGCTCTGTGTGATCAGTGTAACAGTAGAAAGCATCATCCTGCATTATGATTCATTTGACATAACATCTCATTGGTATATGTCTTTTAATTCACTACACTCATTACACGGTTCATTGAGAAGGTCCCAGCTTTACTTCTGTTCTCCTGCCCCCTAGAATTTTCTGTGGTTCTCTTATCATTTGCAATATATTAATAGTTCCGATTATATTATTTTGTGTTTCATAATGTGAAAGAAATTTGAATTGGTCGAGCAACTTTCTATGAAATAAAATTTATAAATAGTAGTCATTTTTTTAAAGAGAGGTTTTTGTTTTGTTTTATTTTGTTTTGTTTTTGCTATAGGGCTCATTTGATCTACACAGAGACAGAGAGACAGAAAGTGAGAAATCACCCCTCAGGGGTATGGTCACACTGTAATCCCTTCTCCTCCATTCTCCTATCAGGATTTTGGGCACGCACATGTGCCCGGCATGAATTTTAACTTGCCAAGTCCAGGACTCAAACAGCAGTCGACTACATGGGAGTCCAGCGATGTAACCATTACCCCATCTGCTGGTTCCAATCATTTATGTTTCTTAACTGCTGGTGTTTGTTCTCTGATATAGGTACAGTTAAAAATTTCAACAAGTGACTGGTCCAGTAGTTTCTCCTTGGACACAGTGGGAAGTTACGGGTGTGTGAAGTGCCCTGCCCACAACATGGAATACCTGGTAAGATGCTGCCTGTTATGGGACTTTGACTCCAGTTACTTTTTCTTTAGTTCAGTGAACAGACTGGGTACAGAAATTTAAATTCAAAGTATGGATTGGATGGCCATTATCCTTGTGAGTTTCTGTGGCACTGATATCCAAATTAAACTTGTATTTGTCTAAGTTTAAGGCAGCAAATTGAAGTGAGCGATTCGGTAAGTATTCACAGTTTATTATAATTGTCATTCTTTGTCGCCCTTTGGCAAATAATTTTTAAATCTTAAATGTATCTATGAAAATCTGAATCATCTGATGCTAGTTGACCTGTTTTATTATTGCTTTGAATTTTTTTATTGATAACAGTTAATAAAGCATAAAAACTTGAACTTAAACAGTAATCATAAAGCAGTTTATGTTTGGGATGTTAAAAAGTGAACACTAGACAATTAAACCTATTATTGCAAATAATCACTAATTAAATTACCCATTGATATTTTTTGAACTGGTTTTTGATGGAGCAAAACTAAGGAACCCAGATTTTTCTTCTTAGAAGATAATCAGTAGTAGACTATAACTTATAGTGGTTGTAAGGTCTGGAGGAATCGAGAATCTTAATTTTAAAACATTTTAAGAAGTCTGCAGGTGAATGGAGATATATTCATTTATTTGAAAGGGATCGCTAAAATCCTGGAAAACGAGCTTGTTTCCTTCCTGTAGGTTGGCGTTAGCATCAAAATGAGCAGCTTTAACCTCTCACGGATAGTTACTCTGACTCCCTTCTGTACCATCGCAAACAAGTCATCGTTAGAACTAGAAGTCGGTGAGATCGCTTCTGACGGCTCAGTGCCAACCAACAAGTGGCACTATGTCGCTTCCTCAGAGGTAACAGCTTCCCTCCAGGATAACTGATTCCTAATTTATACAAGTAAATATTGACACATAAATCAGAGTTGTGCGTATTTCTTTGTCATAGTCTGCTCTCATATTTAAAATATGACAGCCAGCTTGAAAGATTTTTCTTTCACACTGTAGGCATATGTTTTTTTCAAAGGAAAATTTTTGATAATCTTTACTACTAGTCCAGTCCAGGTGACTAAGAGTTACTCTACAGTTCTTGCATGTGTAGAAAGTGGTTTTGTACTCTGAAAAATGCATAGAGGCAATGTATTATGTGTTGCCTCATTTATCAAGACAATTTTTTTAATATTTAATAAGCTATCATCTTGGTAGAGGCACCTAGAACTCATATATATTAATTCGTGGGAAGAAAAGATAGTGTATTTTAAGTTACAGATGGTTGTAGAATTTCTGACTACTAGAAGTTTTCTTGAAAATTAACTAAAATTCAGCTCTCTTACTTTATAAAAAAAACAGTTTCTCACTTTTTTAAGGTAAATGAAGTTATTGCTAGGTGACATCATGGTAGTCTAGATTAAGAGGTGTAAATTTTCACAGAAGAGGTGGGATTTGACTAAACTTTGTAGACTCAGTAAGGTTTGAAGAGGTAAAGAAATGAGGTAATAATTTTAGAATATTTTCTTTCCTTGGTTGTAATAAAGAATTTAAGAAGAATGACTTTTGGCTGTCCTGACAATCAGCAGGTTTACATGACTTTAACTGAGTTTTCAGCCAAACCAGTTGACCCTTAGGATAGCTGAAGATTATTTTTCCATTCTTTGGTATATCTTAAAGGAAAAAAAAAAAAAGATTCTTGGGACCAGCAGGTGGTGTGGTAGTTAAAATGCTTCCTCATGGCCAACCGTGGTTTGAGTTTCAGACCTGGTGGCTTGAAAATCACACAGGGCACATGTGCGTGTATGCTCAAAATCTTGGAGGAAAAGGGATTGCAGCATGGCCATCCCTCTTCGGGGGCAATTTCTCTCTTTCCCTCTCTCTGCTTCTGTCTCTCTGGCGAAGTCACATACCCTATGGCCAAAACAAAACAAAAAAACAACCTAAAGTTATTTGTGTGTATGTATGTATGTTGATTTCTTTACTTCTTTCATGAGCAGAAGAGACAGAAAGAGAGACAAAGAGACACTGTCCCAACAAAGTCTTGATTCTGCTGCAGTCCACCACCAGCATCAGCCAGCGCTGGTGAGTGGGCATGCTGTGTCTGAGGTACTCAGGAAGTTTCACATGTGAGCAACAACCTTCCCCATGGGTCAGCCTGGTCTAATGTCACGTTTTACCCTGTGCCATCATCCAGCCACCGGAAGTTAGTTGTTTCTAAAATTCTTAGCAAAGGGCTCAAAAAGGATTCCAGTAATACTGTAAGCAAATGTAAAGAGCTGACAGGCTCAGTCTTTTCAGGGTGCTTAGAATCATCTCTGATGTCATGGCAAAAAACAAGTGCCTACTTTTGATGTAGGTGTGATAACAATAGTATTTTTATTTAGAAATACAATTTATCCAGTATTCTATAGCAGAAGGGTATTTTGTATTATTTTAGGAACTAAAATCTGTGTTTTATGGACAAGAAAAGTAAGGCTCAAAGAAGTTGAGTTTAATTAATATGGTTTAATTAAGATCAATTGGCTAGGAAAATAGGGTCAGGACTTCCAGCAAGGTCTGTGGTGTTTTTTTTCCTGCTGTCTGTTGTCTTTCTGATTTAGCTAAGATAATATACTCTGCAAAAGAACTTGTCATGCATTAATGAGTTAAAATGGGTTATACACAAAAGCAAATGTTTTAAAACATTCAAGATAATTGAGGCATTCTTAGTCTGTAATTACAGTGTCTATAATTATACCACTAGTACATACAAACTAATGTATCTGCATTTTTCCTGGTGATTTTTCCCCCCCATTTGCTGTAGGGTGTGTGTGTTTGCTGGAGAGAGAGGGAATGTGAGAAACATCCCCTCTGGGGATAGTTACACTACAGTCCCTTCTCTTCTATTCTCTTGGGATTTTGGGCACACATGCCCAGCATGTTTTTTAAGCCACTGGGTCTGGAACTTGAACCATGTAGCCTGCCATGTGGGATCCAGCTGCCTTCCCCATTATGCCACTGACTGGCCCATGGTTAAATTTATTTGACTTTGTAAATAGTCATTATACTGTTAATAATCTTTTATTTTTATGTTTTAAAGTTCATCTATTCATTTCTCCCATGAGAGAGAGACAGAGATAGTATTCTATAGCAGAAGGGTATTTTGTATTATTTTAGGAACTAAAATCTGTGTTTTATGGACAAGAAAAGTAAGGCTCAAAGAAGTTGAGTTTAATTAATATGGTTTAATTAAGATCAATTGGCTAGGAAAATAGGGTCAGGACTTCCAGCAAGGTCTGTGGTGTTTTTTTTCCTGCTGTCTGTTGTCTTTCTGATTTAGCTAAGATAATATACTCTGCAAAAGAACTTGTCATGCATTAATGAGTTAAAATGGGTTATACACAAAAGCAAATGTTTTAAAACATTCAAGATAATTGAGGCATTCTTAGTCTGTAATTACAGTGTCTATAATTATACCACTAGTACATACAAACTAATGTATCTGCATTTTTCCTGGTGATTTTTCCCCCCCATTTGCTGTAGGGTGTGTGTGTTTGCTGGAGAGAGAGGGAATGTGAGAAACATCCCCTCTGGGGATAGTTACACTACAGTCCCTTCTCTTCTATTCTCTTGGGATTTTGGGCACACATGCCCAGCATGTTTTTTAAGCCACTGGGTCTGGAACTTGAACCATGTAGCCTGCCATGTGGGATCCAGCTGCCTTCCCCATTATGCCACTGACTGGCCCATGGTTAAATTTATTTGACTTTGTAAATAGTCATTATACTGTTAATAATCTTTTATTTTTATGTTTTAAAGTTCATCTATTCATTTCTCCCATGAGAGAGAGACAGAGATAGAGATAGAGATATAGGCATCCCCAACAGAGTCCAGAGTCCTCATACCACAGTCTATCCCATGGCAGCCATCCTGGAATCATGGACATGTATGATGTTTGTGGGTGTGTGTATGTGCATGTGCTTGGCATGCACAGGGAGGTCCTGGGGCACAAACCTAGGACTTAACCATATGGGCCCACTTCCATTACCACTGTGCCATGGCCCAGCCCCTGTTGGTAATCTTTATGAGCTGTGTAGGGCTCTTAAGAAACAATAATAATTTAACCAAGATCACATTTAGAATTGAAAACTTTTCTGTACCACAGCTTTATTTTAAGACTGATAATAATTTTTCTGTTTTTAGTGCCTTCCATTTTGGCCTGAAAATTTGTCGGGCAAACTTTGTGTAAGAGTGGTGGGCTATGAAGGTTCTTCCAAACCGTTCTTTTATAACCGACAGGATAATGGCACCTTATTGAGCTTAGAAGATCTGGTAAGTTTTCCTATTTGAAAATAAAATGTCTTTGATTTTTAAAAATCTGTCTTTGTTTTCTCAGCTCTTTGTATGCATTTATTATTTTTTAATAAAGTTGTATATAACAAAAAATACAGGTAATGTTTCTAATAGTAACTTACAGATACAAACTAAAAATAAGCTACAATTAATTTCACAAAAGAATGTGAACATTTTGCACACTTGGGCCCTTTCTTTTAGACAAAGTGCTCTTGTGATGACAAGTAAATTCACAGATACACACTGGAGTGAACTATTGGGTTGTCAGAAAAGTCTTGACCTATATTTTCATGTTTTTCTGTGCAAAAATGCATCGTAACTTTTCCAATGACCTGATATTTCCAGGCAATATGAAAAGTTTTGTTTTTCTTTTGTAAGCATAAGTTTATCATTTATAGTCTTCAAACATTATTGCACTTGAACTTTCATAATTGAATAAAGCATTCACGAAACAATCTGCAGACTAGTTTAACAGACAAATAAGACTTCTAGGCAGCCATGACTGTCCTACAGATTGTTTTTCCTCACATCCGCCACCCATCGCCCACTCTCTAGCAAGCACGTTTCCTCCTCACAGTCTAGCAGCCACACCTGTCCTTTCCACTGTAAAATATTCATTAAACCATGCTATAGAAATCTGGTAATTATTTGAAGGTGCTGTTGTAACAATATATAATGTCATACGTATATGTGGAAGAGATCAGATTGGTTTGCTTTTTAGTAAGAACTTAAGAAAAAAAAAGAAAACTTTAAATAACTCATTGAAATTCCACGTGTAAGTGCAGGTTAAACCAGTGTGTCAAACATATATATTTTTTTCTCCAACAGAATGGGGGTATCTTGGTGGACGTAAACACTGCTGAACATTCAACCGTCATAACGTTTTCTGATTACCACGAGGGATCTGCACCTGCCCTGATAATAAACCACACGCCATGGGACAGCCTCACATATAAACAGAGGTATGTGAGAAGGGTTCATGCAAAATGTGACCTGCCTTTATTGGTCCACAGTCCTTGCCAGGAAACACGTGGATCCAGATGTCAGATTTTACAGTGGTAGTATGGAGCACTTGCCGTTCATTGCTAACAACCTCGCACGTTTTGAGGTAGTGTTCTGTGATCAAACACGGTCATATTTTTGCAACAATTATCGCTAAATAGGATAAATAGAAACCATTAATGGTCTCACCTCAGTTTGTCAGGTTGCTGAATGACTTTTGACAGCACATCTTAGTACAAGGAAGTCTTTAGGTTTGGAGCTTTTTTAAAATGGGAGCTAAGGAATTGCAAACCTATTTAAATATTATATTTCCTCTGTAGTGTGGCGGTGCTCAGTGAGGCTCTCCCTAGTGTTTTTGGTTAGGGGTTACAGAAGATTGAGTGGACAGCGGTACTGAGAGTACAGAACAGGCTGGGGGCAACGTTGTTGCTCTGACTGTACTGTGATTTGGTTTGGATATGCCATTATTTAGTGGTATAACAATTTTAAGTCCAGTTAATATATGATAATAATGAGTATCTACACACATACAGATACAAATATACACATACACACGTATTTATATACACACAAGTATGTGTATGTTTATGTGTGTATATGTTTATAGGTGCATATTATATGTGTATATATACATTGTACAAATAAATTCCTTGGAGATTTTTCTGTTTTTTCCATTCTCATGGCATGACTCCTGTGAGATTTAGAAGTACATAGTGTGCTTGAAAACTCGTCGGATTTTTAATTTTTTTTAGTTCTCTGGAATTAAAAAAATATTATATAGATAATACTTGTTAAGCTTTAATAGTTGATTTTAAAATCTCTTGGCAATCTTGTTAAGGATGCAGATTCCAGTTCATTAGGTTTTGAGTGGGGTCCAGGACTTTACAAATCCAGCCAGCCCTCAGGTAGTTGTAGTGCTGGCTCACAGACCACACTCAAGTAGTAACAATATGGATCTATTTATTTATTTATTTTTCCTTCTGAAACCTGTAACATACCTTAAGTGCTGCATTTGGATATGAAGTTTAAGTCAAAGCTTTGCACGAGGTCCCACTAAGCATGTTTACTATTCACAGCCATTTCTCCAGGTGGGTCGGATGCCCCTGTCTGTCTATCTGTGTAGATTCCATTGGTATAATTCTGTCTGGATCAATTCAGAATGTTCTGTAGCATATATCTTTGGGTACTTACATTTAGGCAGAGTTGTGTTTTATTAATTGAGGCCATTTCATAGGAATTCGTGTTGATCTGTTGCTCAGTAAACGGCAGGCCTGGGTTTCTCAAGGTAGAGACACTCTAATGTCCTCTGTCATTGCATCGCAGCGGGTCCCAGGAAGCAATGGAATTGCTGCCACAACAAGCTCGACTTTTTGCCTGGGCAGATCCTACTGGTGCCAGGAAACTCACATGGAGATACGCAGCCAATGTGGGGGAACACGATCTCCTAAAGGTATCACTGATGCAGATGGGTGCTGGATGCACTGCTGGGGGTGAGGAACGGGACGGACTCATCCCTATTCTGTCTGTCCTGACGGCACCAAAAGTGAATTGGAAGTGTTTTCAGAATAAGTTACCTTTAGACTTTAGGATTGCAAGTAATTCATATCAGTATTGTAATGTTCAAGATGTCTTATCTTAGACCAACCAAAGTAATTTACTAATGATTGTACTTTTTTTTATTTTTAAGAGAGATTTTTACTATAGGGTGCATACACTCACTGGAGAGAGACACAGAGAGACAGAAAGTGAGAAATCACCCCTTTGGAGGATGGCCGTGGTGCAGTTCCTTCTCTTTCATTCTTCTCTCAGGGTTTTGGGTACACTCACACATATGCCCAGCATGAGTTTGAAGCAACCAGGTCCAGAACTTGAACCGTAGTGGACTACATGGGAGTCCAGCGATATAACAATGACACCATCTGCTAGTCTCTACTTGGGATTTTTCTTTTCCAGGTTTTAAAAATAACCTTTATGTTTTAAAAGTTAATATATGCATTACAGGAAACAGAAAAACAGAAGAAGCAAAGAACAAAGTCGTCCACAGTCACAGACAACTTATGACTTGTGATTTTAAAATAGGTCTGTTTTATCTTACCCAACACCAGTAAAGCACCGTTTTTATTTACTTTTTGTTAAAAGGAAGGAATAGTAAAACTAAGTGAAAAACAACTTTATTTTGAACATTGTCATGTCATGTTGGCTGTGAAGTTTTTAGGTTTATTTTCCTAAGTAAGGTGGTGTGTTTTATTAATTACTAGAGTCTGATTGTATGCAGATTTCCCACATAAGAAATTTGATGCCATATTTATTTTTTTAGATACCTAAATTAACCGGATAGGTTATTCGGTGAATAACTTAGGCCTCTTCCAGAGTCTCAGAGTCTATGGATTCATCTACTAGCTTGCCATCTAATGAAGGTGTTGCTTCTGTGTGAGGGATAGATCATCCCGTTTTTGTAGGAAGATATTCAGTGATAAAAGAGCTCAGAGAGTGTCATAGTGCATTGTGATTCCAGTCATTAAAAAGCTTGTAAATCACACCAGGCACTTGTGCTTGTGTGCCCAAAATCCCAAGAGGAGAATGGAGGAGGAGGGTTGTGCATGGCCATCCCCCCGGGAGGTAGTTTCTCATTTTCCTTCTTTCTGTCTCCTGTGAGTGCACACAACCTATAGCAAAACATGTTTAAAAAAAAAAAAAAAAAAGAGAGAGACTCTCTTTAACTTTTGCTTTAAAATGATAATTAGCCAGCAGTGACTGAATTATCCTCTTCTATACTCTCTCTGAGATACCCATTAAAGGGTTAGACTTACTTGGTGAAAAATTTAGCTTAGAGGTCCTCTGTTGTAAGAAAATTCAAGTGATTTTCACCATGACAGTTTCATGGTTCTCTGTTGGTTTGTTCATGCTTTGCATTTACAGCAGAAAAACAGAAAGTTGTAAGTGGATGGAAGAGGCTAAGAATCTCTCATACTCTTGGCGTTCTGGCTCAGAGACACAGAGCTCTCCCAGGAGACCTTGTACTATGTGGTATTAGTTTCTTTCTCCTCACACTGAATACTTACAACTCAGCAGCCACAACTCCTAGTGAAGCAGCACACTTCCACTAGGGAGAAAGCGTCATTGACATTGTGGAAGAGGGTGTCAAGGTCTAGATATGTAGGCAGATCTAGAAAGAATCCAGGTGACAGTGTATGCTGGGATTTCAGGTTTTTTTAAAATTTTATTCATCATTATTTTTTAAATTTGACTGTTTGTGCACCCACACATACACACACACACACACAGAGAGAGAGAGAGAGAGAGAGAGAGAGAGAGGGAGGGGGAGAGAGAGAGAGACAACCAAAGTTACCAGGTCCAGGACTCAAGCCGTGTTCGGCCATGTGGGAATCCAGCACCTTAACCACCATGCCACCTGCCGGCCCCAGAATTTTAGTTTTGAATGTTTTCCTTCTGTTTGGTGTTAGAGAACCAGGCAGTGGGAAAAGCAGATGGCTCCACCTGAGTCTGCAGGCAGGTTGCCAGTTATTAATAACTCAAGGGAATTGCCTTTACCTTTTTCCACTTAAGTTGATCTGAGTAGCGAGTTTTGCCCAGGCCCAAGTGGAAATCTGTACATTGTTGGCAGATACCAGGTCTGAGCAGCTCTTTCATTTAAGTGTAAATAAGCAGGAAAAAAGCACCATAAGGTGGCCGTCTGGTGGCAGACGGTTAAGATGGCTGGATCCCACATGTCTGAGTGCATGTTTCAAGTCATGAACCCAGTGGCTTGAAAAGAATACCAGGCACATGTGTGTGCATGCCCAAAATCCTGAGAGCAGAATGGATGGTGGTTTGGCCATTTTCCCTGGGGAATCATTTGTTACTTTCCCTCTTTTCTCTGTCCAACTAACATAAGTGTCCTGTAGATAAAGACTAAAAACAGACATAGGGACCTGCAGATGGCATAACGGTTACGTCACTGAACTCCCGCATGGCTGACTGTGGTCTAAGTCCCAGGCCCAGCAGCTTGAAACTCATGCTGCGCGTGTGTGTGTGCGTACCTGCTATCCCAAGAGGAGAATGGAGGAGAAGGGATTGCAGTGTGGCCATCCCCACTGGGGGTGATTTCTCACTTCTGTCTCTGTTTCTCTGGTGAGCCCATGCACCCTATAGTAAAAGTCTCTCTTAAGAAAGAAAAATAAGGTTTATGAAAAAAAATACTTAATGAGAAAAATTTAGCCTTCCAATGTAGATACAGAGAGCAGGTATACATCTGAAGAAAATTAAAACTGCCTGGTGGTGTGGTGGTAAGGTGTTTGGTTGATCTTGGTTCGAGTCTCAGACCTGGCGGTTTGCTTTCTCATTCACACTCTCTTTCATCTCTCCTTGCTCAAATTAAATAATGATAATAAAAAATAAAATTAAACAGTTGTTTAAAAATGTATGCCTGATGTCCTCAACTAAGTTATAAAAATATGAAAACTGTGAAGTAGGAGAAAACAAAGGCAAAACTAAAGTGAATGGGAAGCAGGGCGGCAATACTAGAAGATTTTAGAAAGTTCTTGGAAAATGGAAAAGTTCTTGGAAGTTTGTTTTGTTGGAAAAAAAAAATTCATTGTGTGTGTGTATGCACAAGAGAGAACAGGTACCTTCATCAGGGTCGAGCCATTCCACAGTCCCTTTTCCCCAGCCCCTCCAGCTCTGAAGCACCTGTGAGCCAGCCCTGAGTCGTTCAGGCTGACCTTAGGATCTGAACCTACAGTCATATGGCCCCAGCCTTGCAGGGCACTTGTCCTACCACCGTGCCACAGTAGCCAGGCCGCGAAAACCGTTTTGAGATCCTCACAGTTTCTTTATAATATACATTGTTCATGAACGTTTTGAAGATGCCTCTGTGCAGTGTATTGGGTTGTCAGAAAAGTCATGGCACATTTTCGTATAGAAAAATAAGGCACGACTTTACCTACAACCGTATTTCTGTATCATTTAATACTGAATTTTAATTAGTGAAAGTACAGATTAGAGAATTTATCTTTTATTTTTATTTTTAAGAGATTTGTTGCTATAGGGTACATGCACTTGCCAAAGAGACAGAGAGAGAGAGACAGAAACAGAAAGCGAGAAATCACCCCCTGGGGGAATGACCATGCTGTAGTCCCTTCTACTCCACTCTCATTTTGGGATCTTAAGAGCATACACACACACACGCACACGTACCCGGCATGAGTTTTAAGCCACAGGATTCGAAACTCAAACTGCGGTCGACTACATGGGAGTCGACGCAACCATTTTGCATCTGCTGGTCCTAGAATTTACCTTCTTTTAAAAAAGTTTCTCAATTAATATTGGGTTGGAAGTCATGACACAGTTTTGCATAGAAAAACAGAAAAAAAATACATTGTGGCTTTCCCAACAACCTAATAGAATTAAAATAGTGAGAAAGGAATTTCAAAACAATTGAGAAAATGAACATAAAAACCATTTTGCTTTTGGCCCGGCTGTGGTGGTTCACAGATGGCACCACTGTTTTGGAGGTTGGAACTTAACAGTAAAAATAAATTTTAAAGAACAAAACTTAGCTATTCCTATGCTGTCGGTAACTTCCTTTTTTTTTTCTTTTTTTTTTTTTAATTTCCAAGAGAACATGAAATGAAAAGTAGATAGTAGATATTTGTACTACCTGTTGAAAGGAGTTGTTATGAAGTCCAGGATGAAGAGGGATTTATTATTAATTTATTATTTTAGTCTCTGAAAGCACTGAACTAATCCAGTCTTATGTTTTTAAGTGCTATATGAAGCTTCCAGCCAAGAAAGCTATTCTTTTTATTTATTTATTTATTTTTGAGAGGGTTTTATTATTTTTTTTTGCTATAGGACACATGTGCTCACCAGAGAGAGAGAGCCAGAGAGACAAAAAGCGAGAAATCGCCCCGCAGGGGGATGGCCATGCTGCAGTCCCTCTCCTCATTCTCCTGTTGGAATTTTGGGGACACACACACACACACACATTTCTGACATGAGTTTCAAACTACTGGGTCTGGGACTTGAACCACAGTCGGCCATGTGGGAGTTCAGCTCCTTACCACTATGCCACTTGCTGGCCCCAAGAAGGCTGTTCTTAGTGAAACTTAGTATAAACTGATCACCATAATTTGACTGTTTGGCATTGTGATATATTAACATTTGCTGTGTTAATAAATGATCATTTAAGTATAAGAATAAATTAGGTTAGTTTTGTATGCGGTTACTTTTCTTTTTTTTGGAGAGATTTTTGCTATAGGGCACGTGTGCTTGCGAGAGAGACAGAGAGACAGAAAGTGAGACATCACCCCCCAGGGGGGATGGCCACATCACAATCCCTTCTCCTCCACAATCCTCTCAGGATCTTGGGCACACATGCACACGTGCCCAGCATGAGTTTTAAGCCACTGGGTCCAGGACTCGAACTGCAGTTTACTACATGGGAGTCCAGTGACATAGCCATTACGCTAACTGCTGGTCCCTCAGGTTACTTTTCTAATAAACTTCTGAACCGTTCTCTTCTCTAGATTGGGGTCAAGTAGTCATCTTACAACATTGGTGCCACCAGTAAATACCCTTGACCCTGCCTAGTGCCCCTTGAGTACTAAGTAACTCAAATTAGATATAAAAAAACTAAGCACTGTTGGCTCATTGTTGTGGTGGTGCACAGGTAATGCCAGCACTGAGACATAAACAGCATGGAGAGCTGAGCGTGGTTCCCAGGCCGAGCTGAACACACCAGGTGTGGTGCGGGCGTAGTCCTAGCTAGTTGGGAGGCTAGGGAGAGGGATCATGGCACGGGGAGACACTGTCAAAAGCACTTCTCTCTCTCTGTTCTTCTCTCTCTTCCTCTTTCTTTCTCATAAATAAGTAGCAACAACAAAAGAAACTAAGCAATATTAATCTTTGTCATTGTTTGAGAATGATTCATGGTTACGTTTTAAATGTTAGTTTTGTTTAATTTATGCCATTTTGATGGTCTAAGTTTTCCACTTTGTAGTCGTGCTTTTTAAACTTCTCTAATCTTTCTCAGTTACCATACTCCAGCCTTATGTAGTGAAAACTTACTTCTTGTGGGTTTAATGAAAAGCCTTTCTGTCCCCCAGGATGGATGTGGACAGTTTCCATATGATGCAAACATCCAGATCCACTGGGTGTCATTCCTGGATGGCCGCCAGAGAGTCTTGCTCTTCACCGATGATGTGGCCTTGGTTTCCAAGGCGCTGCAGGCGGAAGAAATGGAGCAGGCTGATCATGAGATAACCTTGTCTCTTCACAGTCTGGGGCTTTCACTGGTTAACAATGAAAACAAGCAGGAAGTTTCATATATTGGGATCACCAGGTACGTAAAAAAGAAGATAAGGCATGAGAAATCTTAAAAAGTATTAAGTTTGTAATATTTAATTTGATGAGAATAAACATATACCTGTTATGAATTTAATATACCATATATTAATTTAGTAAAACTTATTGAATACTTATTTTTATTGCTAGTTGAGAAGTCTCAGAGATGGAAAGATGCCTTCACAGAACTCATTGCCAGTTGGTGGGGAAGAAAGTGGTTTTCTCCTTTGTTGTTTGTGTATGTTTTTAAAGATGAATTACAAAACACTGAGAAACACTGCAGGGAGTATATGCGATGGAGATACACCGGGAGAAGTAGCTACCTTGTTTTGAGTGGTAGAGTCTGGAGAAACTGTCGAGGGTCGGAGTGGAAAACTGGAAAAAAGGTTCATAGGAGAGGCGGTAATTGATACGAGTACATACTCTTTAATGGGTGGTATTTTAGAACTTTGTGCTACTTACCGGACAAGTTGTTTTCTGTGATTCCGCTTATGCAAAATGTTTCAATATTTATTAGTTTATTTTAAATCATCCTTAGTTGGCAAAAGACTCATTGTTCTTTGGAGGCTGTAGGGTGGAATGGTTGACAAGGTATCAAGTATAATGAGGTTAGGATCTGTCTATAATAATTTGATTTGGGGAAGTAAAGTTAGATTAAGTAAAAAGTAAGATGTGCTTTGTGCAACATGTGACAAATTGAGGGTTTTATAAGTTGTATCATATATACCATTAATATGATAATAAAACCTTTATGTATGAGGGGAATTCAAAGAGTGGAGAAATGGAATTCAAGCACAAGCTTTTTTGGTGCAAGATCCATTTTGAAATCCATACATATTTCTTTTATAATATACCTTTTTTTCTTTCTTCTTCTTTTTTTTTAAAGAGGTTTTTGCCTTAGGGCATGTGATCTTACTGGAGAGAGAGAGAGAGAGAGACAGTGAGAGGGAGTGAGAGGGATTGTGAAAAATCACGCCCCTTGGGGGATGGCCATGCTGCAGTCCCTTCTCCATCCTCCTGCCTGGATCTTGGGCACATACACACACATGCCAATGTCGTTTGAGGCCACCAGTTCCAAGACTCAACCGCGGGTGGCCATGTGGAAGTCCAGCGACGTAACTGCTAAGCCATCTGCCGGCCCCCATAATACACATTTTCTATAAACTTTTTGAGGGCCCCTCATATATAAATAATAAATCCTCTTGGTCATACATTTCAGTATTACATAGTGTTTTTTAAACTTAGTTATGAAAAGTCATTTTTTTAGCCATATAGATCATTTTTCTCCTTTTTTTCTTTGCTATAGCTTCTTTTCATTGTACTATCATATATGCTGTCATATTTTGTCAGGTTAGCCTTTATTCATGAGATGTATAAAACATTTATTTAAAAGAGCTTGATTGCCTTTGGTTCTGACATGGTACATATTCAAGAAAATCTAGGATTTCAAGGAAAAAAATAGTCAGTTACATAATTTAAAAAAATAGACTTTTGAGCCAGCGGGTGGTGCTGTGGTGAAGGCAGCTGGACCCGACGTGGCCAACTCTGTGGTCCGAGTCCTGGACCTGGCGGCTTGAGAAACACGCTCATGCCTGTGCCCAGATCCTGAAAGGAGAAATGGGGAGAAGGAGTGCATGTGGCCATCTCCTCGGGGGTGCTTTCTCTTGCTCTTACTCTCTTGTTCTCTCTCAGCACATACCCTCTGGCAGAATGAAAAAACATAGGCCTTTTTTTTTTTTTTTGGAGCAACTTTAGGTCTATGAAAGAATCGAGTGGAGAGCTGCCACTTGTCCACATCCCAAGTCTCTCCTGTAAGCTCTTGCAGTAGCGCAGCGTTCATTACAGTGATGAGCTAGTGTGGATATGTGTATCATCCGAAGTCATGATTTACAACTAGGATCACTCATACATTTTATGGGTTCCACACGTGTCTAACATGTATCTGCATGTGTATGCGTGTCACGTACAGCAGTGGTTACCCTGTACGTTTCCTGCTCCACTGTTGATGTTGCCCTTCTCACCCAGAACTTCAAGAATCACCCAGAACTTCTAGAATCGCTGATTTTCCCCCTTTTTATTCATGATAGACCATGTGTGTATATGGTGGGGGGAGACTTGAGCATACTCCACAGCTGCATAAGATGTGCATTGCCACAGTTCTCTCCCCCAGTCCTCCAGCCCGCCAGATCTTAGGCACTTGTGTGCGTGCCTGGTATGTTTGAAGCTGACCTGGCCAGGGAATCGAAATGCTGTCACCATGTGGGATCCTGCTTCTCTTGAGCAGCACATTACCTCTGAGCCACAGAGCTGGGCCCCTCGCTGATTTTTTTTTTAACTGTCTCCAAAATTTTGCCATTTCCAGAATGTCATGTAATTGGAATAATATAGCATGCAGTCCTTTCAAATTAGCTTTCTTCACAAAGCAATATATTTTTTTTAACTTTTTTTGTTATAGGGTGTGTGCACTTACCAGAAAGACAGAAAAAGACCGAGAGACAGAAAGTGAAAAATCACCCCCCTAGGGGGGATGGCCACGCTGCAGTCCCTTCTCTTCCATTCTCCTCTCGGGATCTTGGGCACGCACGCACACATGCCCGGTATGAGTTTAAGCCTCCGGGTCCGGGACTTGAACTGCGGTCGACTACATGGGAGTCCAGCAACATAGCCA